GTCAGTGCATTCGCTCAGAAAGCGAAGGGTGCGGGTTCGAGTCCCGTCTGCTGCCTAGTCCACGTGGATTTTTTTCTCGTGTAATTTTCTTTAGATTTGAACATCTAGCAGATAAATGCTTAAAAAATACAAAAAAATATGAGTACATATTTAATTTCATTTAAGTTTAATAATATAAAACAGAACGTACAGTAAAATAATCAATAAATACTCATATTAAAAACATGGTACTGATCAATTTGAATTATCAAATTTTAATTTATAGGTATTTTATTCTACGTTATTGAGCAAAGTGAATTTACAGTTAGTATCAAAATTCTATGGGAACAAAGCAAGGTAATAAAGTAAAAAGTTGGACCTGTGCAAACAAGAATTCTCCCACTCTTGTACACAAATCAAACGCATTGTATCTTGTTCAGAAAACATTTCTGGGGAGCCCGTTACGAATGATTATATTGCCGAGAATAGCCCAATCTGAAAACTTTATGCATAAACCAGACCATTTGAATAGCAACAACAAGCAACTTTGTAGACCTTGTATCACAAGATTTCGACTTCTTTGTCGAAGTTACTGACACACCTTAGTAAGCAGAGCCTTTCATTATTTTGAATACGACAGACAACTGAGATAAGTACCAAACAAAACTCTTAAGTAGGTGGTATCTTACGCAACTTCAGAGGTTTTTATTTACCTTAAAAATCTTCATAATCATATCGACAAAAAAGTCATATCATCAACTTACTTTAACTGTTATATCATGTTAAAGTCTTAGTGAAATTCAACTTTAACGAGCTCCGTGGTGCAAACTCATATAACATTCTGCCAAAAAATTTAAAGCATTTTTTCAGCGGAATGAATGATATACATACTGACATTTATTTATTTACCTTTTAACAAAGTTTCTACTGCTAATAAATTTCGAAACATAATTTCCAATTTCTGTCCAAATCGGCTGTAAGCAGTAAAAGCTTGTGTGAAATACGTAGAAGGAAGTCCGTTTCCTGAGTTTCATACACTAACTGAAAATAGGTCGTGTCGCTGAATGTACTTACTCCAACAAAGGCGAGCATGAAATATTAATTCGGAGTTTTAATTAATGGGATGGACGCTCACTCTTCATACTCAATTATAGTATCACAGATAGCTCTCTTTTTCCAGCTTTTTCCATCTGACTAAATCAGAGAAGAGTTTATTATTAACACACTTTACCGCAACTTCGTCTGTGTGGACTTTAGATTTAAAATTAATCTTAAAGAAATTTATATTCGGATGAAAATTTGAATAAATCTACTCTTGGACCAATTAGTCCTGAATCCCATAGGCGCAAAACATATTTCCGGGATAAAAAGTATATTATCTCTGAAACCAAGTCCAAAGTTATGAAAAATGTGTAGATCAGGTCCAATAATTTTTAAAAGCAAAAAAAATCGGATTCTGATGAAACCTATTCAAAAAGGATAATAACACATTTATATAGAGGAAAGTAAATTACGGGCGATTTGATGTCAGAAAGGACACTTTTTGTACAATCTAAAAGTACCTATCTGCAAAAATCAAATTAACCGACTTTTTGGTTTTTTATATATCTCAGACAAAAAAATATTTTTTCTTCGCGGAATTTACTAAAAACTTACCTTCTGATATCTCGCACACGCTCAATTTTTTTAATTTAAATAAATATTTTTTATTGTATTTTTTACACATATCAAAAAAGTTACCTTATTTTCAATTATAGAATCTCACGTCTGAAAAGTTTCTTTATAAGAAAAAGTTGGTCTGTTAATGGTTCTTTAGAAACACTACTTTCTGGTGGCATATGGAAAATTATCGGGGCTAGCCTATGACATAAAAGCCCCCTTGAAAAGTGATTCATTAATTTACTTGTATTTGTATATTCTAAGCTTATACTATTATTATTTCATTACAATTTATATCGGCAAAACAGTGTGAGTATATTTTATGAGAGTGATAGGTACTTACAGCTAAGTTATCAAATAGCAATTAAATGAAATAACAAAAATCGTCCGGAAATAACGATTGAGGCGAACTATGGAGACAATAAAACAGCGTCAATGTAAGTTCTTGCAGTTTCTTCTATTGTGTTCCGCTGACGGCGCATGCCGGCGCGTCTGAGCAGAAAACTCAATGGCCGTACATCACAATACGTCTCCTCTTTATTGGAAAACGCGACAGTTGCTTTCCACGTGAATAATTCCGATGTGTACGTGTTCCTGGCGTTATTGGCTTTGTTGGAAAGCAAATGTCCTGAAATCATCCTTGACCGCGACGCGGGCTCTTCCGCTTCTATATTTATGATTCGCATCAGCATCGCTCGAAATGAAGATTTGTGTTTCCCCGACCGGAGTTGTTGGAACTAAACAGCCGTGAAAGGGAATTTTCTCAATTCGATCCCGCCAGACTCGGTCACGTTCGAACACGGTTTGTAAACAGTTCCGCTACAAACCAGTAATAGTATATTCTCCCTTGTTTATTTCGGTCTGACACAGCGCTAAGAAAGTGAAATTTAGTGGCTGTGAAATCTTTCAAGTTAGAACTTATAAATAAACGTGCGCTAGTGATGGATGTTGCAGGTTTAATTCAATTTAAATGTAGTTTTAAGAACGATGCTAAAATGGGCGTAGCTAGGGGAGGCAGGGGTATTTATCAGCCCACCGTAGAATTCGAGTTTCAAACAAATTAAAAATTAAAATAAAAAATATGTATAAATTAATAATTAATTTCAGAGTACATGTAAGTTTAACTGGAATTTCCTCTGGACAGAGACAACATATAATAAATATGTTATAATTATAATAATCATTTACTCATAACCCAACATTTTAAGTATTAAGGTAATAAAGTCTACCGGGTATATATGTATATAATAATCTCAAGAAGTCGATCCCTTACCCAGAAACTAATTAAAAACTGTAATTATCAGGGTTAGTGATTCCTCGATCGACATATTGCATTAATATATTTTATTTATGTTGTCTTTGACGAATTCTACTTACGTTTGTGGATAAGAGGCCCACATTCACATAGAAGGTGTTTTGGTGTTTCATGCACCTAATTGCAATATCTGCAAACATTAGCGTCACTTAATTTCATATGAAATTGGTGCCTGTTAAGTTTGTAGTGTCCAGTTAAGGCTCTTTCAATAGCACGGACGTTCGGTCTGCTAAGTTCTATTATCTGAACAGCCCGTTTTTGCAAGTAACCTTCTAATAGTGATTCTCTCTTTTTCATGGTTGGTTTAAATAGTATATTTTCAATTTACCTACAAGACTATTGAGAATTTGCATGGCGCGGTTTCTTGTGATGACACAGAAAGTTTCTGGTCTATCAATTGCCCTTGTGTCCCTGCTCTTGCTAATTCAGCAGCTTTCTCGTTGCCAATTATCTCTGAGTGACCTGGTATCCATTTAATAATAACTGAATTCTTTTGACCCAGTTTGTTCATGTTCGTGTAAATGGCATTAAGCGCTGCTTGGCTATCTGAAAAGATGTATATGGTCTGGTTTGTGTAGTTGACGATTGGCTTCTGTACAATCTATGTTGGCATATACGTCTGCCTGAAATATAGTGTTTTCCGAGATTTATACTTTTTTTGAATCTCGGCTTTTCATCGTATATTCCACATCCTACACTTTGACCCATTTTGGAGCCATCAATCATCATTGTACATCAAATTAGACATGCCGCCTTACAGGATTCAGTCATTTGACCACGTTTCTCTACTTGGCAGTTCTACCTTGTAATTTGTAGTGAAAATACTCAGTGGAAGCATGACATGTATAGTCAATACTTGTGTAAGTTCAAGCGCTGTTTGGTGGAGAGTCCTCGGTGCTTTACAGTGCCAGTTTGTCAGTTGTAGTCCTACCAGTAATACTTAAAGCACTCTGAGCGTGCTCTGAGCGTTTAGTTTGCTTTATTATCCCCTTATGCGTATTCTAGCAGTGCAAAACACTAACCGTTTAGGTAATATTATATTAAAAAATATAATTTCTTGGGTCGTGTGAAAATCTATTTTCTCTTGGAACTGCGTCCCTACATAGCCTTGCTTTACCTCCGCCGTACTTACAGCCGAATCTATTACCAACTAACAAGATAACTGAGAGAATAGGTTATCATTGTAAATGAGCTTGTTTTATTATGAGACGTAAATCATAAAAATGCGGGACCCGTAAACAAAGTGCCGGCCGATAAATTACGGGCGACCGCGACGCGGCGCGACCCGGCGTTACACCACTAAATCTTCCGTTGTCACACCCCCTATTCCGCTAACAATCTCTTTAGCTCCCTTCATATTTTTTAACTGTCGTATCGTATTTATCCTTCATAATTTCTTTCCTTTTTAGATGATAATAAGTTATTTATTATACTTAACCGAAAATAGAAGCGAAACCCAGCAAAATATTACTTGAGTACCAACCTGCATAAGTTTTATTTATGGCCTTAAGTTTTGAACCCAAGACAATTCCTTCAATTTAGGGCTTAGTTCAACTTTATAATTCGAAATAAACTAAGTATTTATGACGGTATTAATAATAACATTTATTTTACTTGAAATACTAAAATCCAGATACAGGACTTATTTTATAAAGAAAATTTTCACTAAAGAAACATATGACCAATTTCTTTGGCGTTGTACAAGAAGGTTTCCGTGCCATAATCCAAAGTTGAGGTTGAGAAAAAATATTTTTGTAAAAACTGACCAAGTGCTTTGGCGTCGCATATGAAAGTTTCCGCAGGAGGAAAATTTGACTCTACGAATACCGTATACACCCCAACAAACTTCTTAAGCAACGACCATAGAAAAGTAATTCTCCGCAGTACCAATTTTACATACAAAAAGGTATGTAAAGTTGCTACTGCGAAAGTTTATTTGTCTGTGGTTTTGCTCAAGAAGTTCGCCACTACCTATACCTTAGATGACAAAAAAAACAGTGACTTTGTTTCATTTGAAAACGAATTCTATCAAAAATTTCTTTTCTAGCCCCAGCCAGATTCCCCATGAAGAGTAAAACCGTCCAAGTGACAGCAGGGGAAGCTGCTCATTTGCAGTGTGCAGCTTCGGGAGATGCACCTCTAGAAGTATCCTGGAGAAGCCCCCACCATCACACCATAGCTCACCACCTAGATCAAAGGTAACAATCAAAAATGTACCAAGTAAACTAATACCCGTTTGCCCTTAACTTAGGCACTTCCTAAACTCATTCTTAGGGTCAGATTGGTTTGCAATTTGCTCCAAACTTTAAGACGATCTCCCTAAGTCAATCCAAAATTTTTGTTGTAATTCATTCACGAAATGCGTGAAGTAAATTATTAAAAACCTTAACTTTAAGAAGATTACTTAACGCAAATTCAGACTGATACTATCAAAACACTCCGAAATCGAGTAGGCCGAGTAGGCCAAATCATGAAATATTAAATTGCAGAGGCTGCTACGTTTTTGTCGTTATTTATAATTATTTTTAAATCATTAATATAAGTAATCAACTTTATTTCAGTTTATAAATGATTTAAACTTGTATTGTAATCAGGGACCATAAGGAAAAAAACAATAAGTACAAAAAGCTAAAGAACACCTTCGTTTTAACAAAACCAGAGACTTCGATAAGAATAAGTCAATTATATTTCAACGACACCGGGGAAGCGAAATACGAGGCCTTATAAATTGGGAGTTTAAGATGTCAAGTTGCTTCAGTGACTCAATCTGTATTAAATGATATATTATTGAAATTCTAATATATAATATCTTTTGTATCTTTATTTCCCTATAGGTAGCTTTATTAAATTTGTAGCGGCACTCAATTGTTTTTATTAAAATATTGAGACGCCTTTTAATATTAAGTTTTTATGTAAATAATGGTTTTGCAATAACCAATTGTATAATAAAATGACCTGAATGGACTGCTTGGTTTAATGATCAACGCAGCAAAATCAATTAGCTCATCATTGTCCAGTCCACTGTTCACCATAATATGTCATCACAATAATATCTTTTTGTACAATTCCATACTAATATTTTTTTATCCATTATTTCTTTCTTGCATGTGCTAATACTGGTCTATCACTATTTTTATCGTCATTAGATATACCATCCGAGAACAAGTCCTAGATGATGGCCTTGTATCAGAACTGAGCATACTTCAGACCTATCGACAAGACACGGGTGCTCTCACATGCCGTGCTTCCAACGCGTATGGACAAGATGAAATGCTGATACACTTGGTCGTTCAGGAGGTAAAAATTTAGTCAAGTACCTTCAGTCATGCTTACGGCCTGCGCAGACGAAGGCATTTTGTCTGCGGACTTTTCTCTCTTGTCCGCGGAGGACAATAGTCCCAGATGAGGACTCCTCGTCTCTCTCGTCTCGACTCTTGTCCTCGTCTGGGCGGGACATTAGTTCTATAAGCGAATTATATAGAAAGATTCTACTATATCGTACGTAGTCCACCAAATATTTTAAACTTCGAGAAGTAGTTACTTAAGTCCCGGAGATTATTATCGCAAACATAATAATTACAGTTTCAAAACTTAAGTAGCCTGACCCTTCTAGTTAGAACATGTTAGGTACTATTATTAACTAAGTGGCAACTGCTATAAAGGTGACAGTTTACCTAACTTTAATATAGCCACAAGGTATGTTAAGTATCTTACTTAAGAAGTACCAACATTTTCAGGTTTTTACCATCACTGTTCTGTTTACTTCTGTACCCTTAGCATGTACCATTAACGAATTCGATCTATTTTATACGTCATATGTGTTCTGATTTTTAGTTCTTGTTACGTCTGTTGTGGCGCTGCTGTTCAAGTTTCCATACATAATTTGACAATGACATTTCACACTCGTAAACAATTCGAATTCGATATTGGTTCGTGCTGAGGGTACTGGTATACTACTCTTTGGGTACAGGAATCTTATTTACTTTTAGTGTTTTCACAGTTTTTTGTATTCTAGGTTCCTGAGATGCCCAAGAATATAAGAATTATCGATCAGCAATCTCGTGCAATACAAATATCTTGGACTCAACCTTACGCAGGCAACAGTCCCATCATCAACTACATCGTGCAGTATAAGGAGGCTCCTGGTAAACTTTTCTCTTGTTTATCACTAAAATAATATCACGAATGTAGTACTTTTACTTAATTTTTAACAATGCCAAAATATGTAGAAAGCTAAATAATTCTCCAATCAAATATCAAAATGACAATGACGATATTTTTTTTATATTTATTTTTTTTTGCTTTCAGAACCTTGGCCAACAACTCCACAGAAAGTAATAGTTCCAGGTAGTGTAACATCAGCGAGTGTCCAAAACTTACAACCAGCTACGTCCTATCATTTGAGAATCATTGCTGAAAACAGATTAGGTCAGAGCGAACCGAGTCAGCTTGTTCAAGTGACAACAACTGAAGAAGGTACGTGGATATGTTCTTCAATCTGGCTAACTTTTTGTGGAAGCAAAGAACTTGACTTAGTTAAATGCTGTATTTTTTCTAGTTCCCAGCGGCCCTCCTCTGGATGTCAGGGTAGAGGCAAAAAGCTCGACTGAATTGATTGTTAGTTGGGAACCACCACAAAGGGACCTATGGAACGGTAACATTCTCGGGTACTACGTTGGATTTCAAGAGGTGAGATGTAAAATTACTTAAATTAAACTTTTGAATAAGATTTTTAAATGGCATTTGTTAAATGCAATAGTTTTTTCCACGTAAACTATTTGTTCATAAACTAGATTGAATTACTGTCGAAATGATGTATTTATACACCACTTCGAGACAAAGAACTTGATGAACAGGCAACTTTGCCGATGGCCGGTCTTAGATGATCAAAAATTAGTATCCCGAGCTCCTCCGTATTTCGGGAGGCAAGTTCAGCCGTTGGTTCCGCCTGCGTCTGCAGTTAGCACCAACGATCCACGAGCCTTAGTGGGTCTTGGCCATAAACATGAGAGAGAATGGACTGAGTAAACCTTATCCAACTGTAAAGTGAAACAAAAGTAAATGTGAGAGAGACGAAGCGATAGAGAGGTCCATTTTCGAGAGGGGCGATCTTTACTGATTCCAATATCAAATGGTTTGATACTTCTAATATTTACAATCAAATTCAAAATTAATGTTTTCTCTTGCCATAAAGTCTATTATCAATTGGTATTCGTAGTAATAAGTAAACAGTTCCTGATGCGAGAACTGCTAGTAAACTTACTGTAAAGATTACTTTTAGTTGATAACAATAAATAGTTGACTGTTTTCCGAGTACTCCATAAAGTGACGATGCGATGGTTTGATGATTAAATTTGCCACTCGAAATTGGGTTTTTTTCTAAGAACATAGAGTTTACTTTAAGATAAGGCTACGGATATTCGAATAATATATATAAACTAGTGAAGAAATTTGAATCGGAAGGAATGTGACAACGCAATACATTCTTATTCTTATTTCGCTTTTATTAGGTTATTCGAATAATTTGAATGACTTCAACAATCGGATTATTCAAATAATGTCATTCACAATCGCCTATGTTGCCCCTCTACAGAATTAAAAAGAAAGACTGATGTTAAATTTAGTTGTAGGTTTAGAGCAATCAGCCCAGAATCGATACCATTAGCTGTTTTTCCTCTATTTCTAGAGAGTTGTCAACATCATGTGATTATCGCTCTTTCCATTCTCTATTGTCATGGTCATTGCCCATTCTATTCCATCTGTATAGAAGACCTAAGCTCCAGCAGTTGGGACATTATAACCTAATGATAATGAAACGATTTCAGCTCAACAGCAACAGCACAGTCCTCAGCGCTAGTGGACCAGGTGGCGCTTCATACACCGTTCGGACCGTCGAAGGGGCAGGGTCGGCCCGGGCCAGGACTACTCTCTCTGGTCTTCAGAAACATGCGGCGTACGCCATCGTGGTCCAAGCATACAACAGTAGAGGCGCGGGGCCTGCGTCTCCTCCTACCACCGCCACTACCATGGAGGACGGTAAATATATTTATATGCATATATATATATACGTTTCTTCACTTGATAGAAAGTAATCAGTTTATTAGCAAATCTGAGAATAATCTCCTTCTTCCTACAACCCGGGGTCCTTCAAAAGAGGCGTAGAAAAACAGTTGTGCAGGCCAGCAAGGTGAAGATGGCTGATAATAATAATATAATAATAGATCAGTTTATATTCTCATCACAATAGGTGCTCTTATGATTTGTTGCAAATTTTGACATGACCTACAAATGTTGTAATTCAAAACTAATGTACCAGGTATATTTAATATGGACTTTACCTCAACTCTACATCAGATCGAGGGAATAATTTGCCTACCTAAATATAAAAAAAAATGTAGTAAATTCCAAAATATGAAAATTTTATTAAATATTAAGCAGCCCATCAAGGTATTTGATGGAACACAGTCATTATATCACCTAAAATACAAAACAATCGGCTTAAATCATACTATGTTCTTTGGTAGGATAATGTAATAGCTTGATAAACAAAAATTTACTTGGTTCTGATTAAAATCCGATCGTTACTCTTTATTTACCCTTAGCACTTATATTTAAAGTATATTTAATGATTTAGCTCACAAATGCACGTTTAATTATGAGAGTATTTACAAAATCCACACTTATTTCGGTAGTCTATAAACTTATTCGATCTCCCGTGTTTTTTTTTTGGTTTTCAATACTATCCTACAGCATGTTATGCCTTTTTTACTAATAATTACATTACATTTGTAATGGTAGAGGTGCCCACGCTAGGATTTTTGGATTTACTCGAGTGCGGCAGATTAACATAAGAGGGCAAACTTGCACCTTGCGAAGTACTGCCACCATACTGAGCTGGGCTTTCTATGTAGTGCCAAACGTCTAGGGCAGCAAAAAAAAATTCAACAAACGAAAATCGATATTTGGTTGCGTCCAAAATGTCAATCTTTGAAATAGGAGCTACTGGAGGATACACATAACATCCCTTCTCACTGTCTGACCCGCTCAAATATTTTTTTTCCCCTATATTCTACCCCTTGGCACGGTCACCTGACAATGCAAACTGGCAGATCAATATTTTTTCCGTCCTCAGAACCCTCCAGTAGGTCCTATTGAAAAGACTGACGATTTGGACGCGACCAAAAGTCATAGCTGTTTGTCGCATTTTTTTTTTGCTGCCCTAGACTTTTGGAGCTAAATAGAGGGCTCTGATTTGGTGGGAGTACTTCACAAGGTACAACGTTGCCCCTTTTATGTTCATCTGCCGCGCTCGAGTAAATCCAAAAATCCCTTGGGTTCCCCTACTATATTCCTAGGACCTAGAACGAAAATATCTATAATTATTTTGTTTGCAGTCCCAAGTCTGCCACCCGGCTCTCTGCAATGCACGGCTGTGAGCTCCCAATCAGTGAGAGTCTCTTGGGAACCGCCCCCGATGCGTGGTCGCAACGGTGTATTACAAGGGTACAGAGTCACCTACGCACCAGTCACTGACTGGTATGGTAAGTACATTATACCAATAGACATATATTTTATCGACTAATTATTTATTTATCTATAATGTCACTGGAATCATCATTTAGTGCTATTGTAACACTGACATTAAATATTAAGAAAAATTGGAGGGCATGATCGCTTTTGATCGCCCGGTCGCTTTCTTTCTTTCTAGAACGTGGTCAATTTCGTAGGAGCGTTGCTCAGTCCATTCTCTATATGTATGATCACATTATAGGTATCGATTTAAATCATGCTGCGGTGGTAATGCTCCCGCTAGAGACACTGATATTGTAGACATCTTTAAATTAATTATCTACCTATGATCGCAAATCAATATCGTGTTAAGTATGGATCGCAATATTACCTACTAAGCTGCGAATACGGTTAGCACGTTCCTGTGTTACGCGTACAGCTCCTGTATGGATTGTCACGGACTTGAGCACGAGGTCAAATAATCCCCGCCAGACAATAAGATTCATTATTGAAACTCGATGAACACGCGTGAATATTCGTTTTGCCGTCCTTAAATAGCGTACGCGGGCGTGCGCGTCCCCTTTGTCGCGCGACCAAACAACCAACAGATGGCGGCTTGCAGGGCAGCTAATTTGCACTGCACGCTTTCTTCATGTGTGAAAGAACATGGCGTTCCAGGACACGCTTAACAACATACGCGCTGTCGGTACGCAGATCTAGGTTTTTTAGCGTTTAGCGCACATAATATTGTACTGCGGGCATTTTAACAGGCAACGAGGAAGCGGTCACGAAGCAGATATCAGGGCTCCACACGACGTTATCGGGCTTGCGGCGGTATACCAACTACTCGGTGACCGTGTGCGCGTTCACGGCGGCCGGCGATGGTGTCAGGGCGGCGCCCGTCTACTGCCACACGGAAGAAGATGGTAATGTACTGCGAGCATTTCTAGCATTTCTCAGGCAACGAGGAAGCACTCACGAAGCAGATATCAGGGCTCTACACAACGTTGTCGGGTTTGCGACGGTACACCAACAACTCGGTCTACTGCCATACGGACGAAGATGATAATGTACTGCGAGCATTTGAAAAGCAACGAGGAAGCAGTCACGAAGCAGATATCAGGGCTCCACTGCACACCACCTTTTCTGGCTTTTGGAGATAAGAACTGTTCATGTCTACTACCATACGGAAGAAGATGGTAATGTACTGCGAGCGTTATACAGGCAATGAGGAAGCAATCACGAAGCAGATATCAGGGCTCCACACCAGTTGGCGGGCTTGCGGTCTACTGCTATACGGAAGAAGATGGTAATGTCCTGCGAGTGTTAAGCAGGCAATGAGGAAGCGGTCACGAAACAAATATCAGGGCTCCACACAACGTTGTCGGGCTTGCGGCAGTACACCGACTACTCGGTCTACTGCCATACGGAAGAAGATGGTAATGTACTGCGATCGTTAAACAGGCAATGGGGAAGCGGTCACAAAGCAGATATCTGGGCTCCATACCACGTTGCCTCGACACTCATTATTTTTCAATCGGTAGATATCCCGATTTGATAGAATAATAAAATTAAAAAGTGTCTGCAAATTGGGCTCTTTAGTTGTTTAGAACTTGATCAAAAATCTTACAAACTTACAAGTGAAGTTGATTGATAATAACCTTTTTTGAAATCATATAAAACAGATTACTTAAATTCTGCAGAAGGTTAAATACGAAAAGATGAAGAGGTAAGAAGAACCTTATTTATCAAATACGAATCAATTCGAGCACTACACAAAACAAATTAATCAACTTTATCCTCTTTAAAACAATAATAATAATGTTTAGCTATTTACAATTAAATAAACCTTACATGGGGAAAAGAGCAGAGATACTCCTTATGTTATATTGTCTCCCACTTGACCATACTTCAATCGATTGAGCCTTACTTACCATATTCGTTTCTTAGGTTTTCACGTACACCACTCATTAAATAAGGATGCGATCGACAATAAATAAATAAATCAGTGCATCTATACCGTTGAAACTTGTTTTACTTACTTATCTTGTTTACTTTTGGTAATTACACTTACCCTTGTTCCACAGTCCCATCAGCCCCTGCCGACATCAAGGCCGCGGTGTCGTCCCGCAACAAGATCCTGGTTTCGTGGCTGCCACCAGCCTCACCCAACGGGATCCTCGTTGGATACACTCTATACATGAGCGTTATTGAAGACGGACGAGAGGTGACTTTTTGGAATTTTATATTTTCGTAATTTATTTGCCGCACATATTGATAACCCCAGGAAAAGAAACAAACTAAAAAAGACGGAAATATGAAAATATAAAAGCATCAAAATCGGTTTATTGATATACATACCTTGTAATTTCACAAACAAAGAAAGGTAATAAACCACCACAAGCTCTCAATGTGGTTTTGTATGTCTTTCCGGGACCAACCAAGCACGGAAGACCTAAAATTAATTCAACTTTTGCTGTACACAATCACAATACGATTACCAATCTTACAATTATTAACCTTTCCTAACTTTAGACTTCTTGTTAACGGCCATGTTTTATGTCAAAGAGTTTAATAAGGAACCCAGCTTTATTCCACAAGCGCATGTTGTTGCCAATCACGCTGTCACTGGAGACATCCCATTCGCCCCCGTGAGCCACGAACCAATTCTGGGTGTCAGCGTCCATTCTTACATTTGACATATTCTAATCTTTGCGTGTCACCAAAGAGTTTAATAAGGAACACTACGTTATTCCAAGGAACCCATAAGCGCATGTTGTCGCCGAACAGTTGCATGAGACGTCCCATTCGCCCCCTGGAGCTATACACCAATCTAGGTGTCAGCGTTCTTTCTTACATTATAGATATTACTAGCAAACCGGTGAACCAAATGTTCACCAAAACCTGATTTAAAAAATGTATTTAATTAATTGAGAACTTCGGAGATTTTGTGTGGTTTCGTTTGAAATTATTTAGTTAAAAAAAAAATTAACCTTTAAATATTTAATTAAAATTGTGATAATTACAAAATAGAAATCACGTGACTTCTCGAAAACCGGAAGTGCTACGTTACTCAAATCCGGTTTGTAGTCTTATCAGACTATTCTTAACTTATAACTTAAATATTCTCTTTATCTATCTCTTACGGTTTGGCCGCTGAAACAGCACCACAGACAGACGGACGGACGGACTTGTCTAATAGATAAGAGATTGACTTTGCGTGTCGTCAAAAAGTTGAATAAGGACCCCAGGTTATTCCAAGGAGGGCGATCACAAGAACATCTAGTCGCCGAGCACGCTGTCACACGAGACGTTATATTTACTCCATCAAACCACGCACCAATTCCGGGTGACAGCGTTCATTCCTACATTTTAGATATTCTTGACTGTGCGTGTCGTCAAAGAGCTTAATAAGGACCCCCACGTTATTCCAAGGAGGGCACCCACAAGCGCATGTTGTCGCCGAGCACACTGTCACACGAGACGTCCCGTTCACCCCCGCGAGCTACACATCAATTCTGGGTGTCAGCCTCCACGCGACTAGGGGAAGGAGAAACCACGAGAGTCGTTACCGTGCTACCTTCGGATTCCGGTGAGTTCCTTTCATCCGCGAGTACCTACTAATAGCCCCATACTATCTTTAAAATCTTCCTACATATATGATGGTCTCTGGGCTAGTAAAGTTATATCTTACTAGGTGCTTCCGTTTTATTAATAACACTGAATGGAAGGAACAGTATTTGCTGAGTTTTTTGTCAATACAATAGGTTTCCCGGATTTACGATCCACGATTACGATTTCTTACTACACAGACAGTAGAATTTAATGATAAATCTTATTTTGTAAAGGTAATTGAAAAAAAACAATATTAATTAAAAGTAAACTATTTTCAGTGCCGGCTAGAATCACATCGTTCAGCAGAAGTATAGTGACTCCTTGGAAGGAGAATATATCGCTCTCCTGCAACAAAGTCGGCATTCCCACTCCTTCCACCACTTGGAGTATGAATGGAGCAACCTTAGAGTCGACTTTGAGGAAGAATGTGACCTTTGATGGAACTCTCGTGATCAGGTAATTTTGTACCAAAACTTATAGAAGTCTTGCAAAAATACTTATTTATCCCATCTTTGCTACAAACGATCAATCGAAGACCTCGCAATCGTCATCATTTGTTCTTGAGCAGGTTTGCTTAGGACTGTTACAAAGTTTATTGTCATTCGATGAGACTGCTTAATTATTTTGAACCAGTTTAATTTGTTTTGGACTTTTACAATGCACGAAAAGGACAAGTTTGTTAAAGACGAATAATCTTGAAAAACCTTTTTGAACGAATATAAAGTGCGATTCATTAACTCTTTACAGTATTCCTGATGTTTCTATGACATGGATGTTTTGGGGTAAAGCTCAGGTGTAAAGGATCCGAAACGTCAAGATTAACGACAAAAGTTGCTAAACCGCACTCTATACCCACTCAAAAATTGTTTATTTAACGAATGTTGTCCGTGAAAATATAAGAAATAAATATAGATGAATGACTTTAGCGATCTTCTTTTAATCATGTCTATTTAAGAATTATTTCGAGTCCTCACTCAACGATTTCTATACTTACAGCATGACACAGTACGCCGACAGCGGTAACTACACCTGCGCCGTGGAGAACATTCACGGGCGAGACGAAGTGACTTATAGCGTGGAAGTGAAGGTGCCGCCTCAGCCGCCAGTGCTGGCCGTGGTGGACTCTTACGCCGACTCACTGCACCTGCAGTGGAGCGACCAGGGTGACGGCGGCAGTCCTATACTGGGTATGACAACAATGACTAGATACCATAACGAGACGAAGTGACGTACAGTAAGTACCCTTAGCACGAACCAATATCGAATTCGTATCGTTTGCGACTACAAAATGTCATTGTCAAATTTTGTTTTGAAACTTGAAAAGCAGCGCCACTTAGTACGTAACGAGAACTAAAAACCAGTACACATTTGACAATGACATTTCGGACTTACAAAAATTTGATATTGGTTCGTGCGAAGGGTACGGGTTTTCCAAGATCTTTACGAGATAGGGAAAACAAGTAAGGGTGCTTAGAAGAGCAGTTATTTTCACAAATACTCAACTCACTCTTACAGCAGGTGGGATGACGTGATCTATTGAGCCTTGTAACTGTGCTGGGTACTCCAAAAGATGAAGATGATCTCAACATCTTTTAAAAATACAAAACTTTCCATAGATGATTCGATTTGTCCAATAAACTACTCTCTGAAGACAATTTTACTAGAAAAAAATCAACACGAACTAGGCAGTAGACGCGATTCGAACCCGCACTCTTCGCTATCCGGGTGAATGCAATGACCATTATGCTATCGCGGCCCTGATGGCAGTGTCAAATTTTCTCTAGTACTTCTAAGACAGGAAGGTTTTTTCTAATAAAATTTTCTTAAGATTTAAACATCTATCAGATAAAATGCTTAAAAATAAAAATAAACTTCTTTGTGTCCAATTTCTTTACAGCAAAACTGGGTAAAACCTTCACATTGTTAAACATTTTCATTAACCAGCCACCGCTTTCAGGTTACGTGATCAACTACAAGCGTGAGCACGGTGACTGGGAGGAACTGCAAGTGGAGGCTGGAACGTCGGAACATATCCTGCCCAACCTATGGTGCGGCACTCGCTACCAGCTGTACATCACGGCATTTAACCGCATCGGCACTGGGCTGCCGTGCGACATCGTCCACGCCTACACTAAGGGAACGGGTCGGTATCAACTAACTATTATGGAGGCAGCACGTCGGAACATATCCTGCCCAACCTGTGGTGCGGCACCCGCTACCAGCTGTACATCACGGCGTTCAATCCAATCGGCACTGGGCTGCCGTATGACATCGTCCACGCCTACACTAAGGGCACGGGTCAGTATCAAGTAACTATTATGGAGGCAGCACGTCGGAACATATCCTGCCCAACCTGTAGTGAAGCACCCGCTGACAGCTGTAACATCACGGCGTTCAACCGCATTGGCGCTGGGCTGCTATCGGACATCGTCGTGTCGGTATTACAACTAACGTTAACCATTACAAGAGACTTCTTTTTTTAGGGGCTAACGTAAGGAAAAAAAACATCAAATAAAATAAATACCTATTAGAAGTCCTATCCAACAACACGCTGGTCTATGCGTCTGTCAAAACCTTTTTTCTTTAAGAGAGGTAGGGCATAGCGGATTTTCTACTCGAATTGGAGCGCCCGCCTGGGGAAGCAACCTCCACTTTAGAGATGACCACAGTAAAATATCACTACCTTTTAATGATGTTGTTTCTGTCCTTGAGTAAGGTTCCAGCAGGACTCCACGGGGAAGAGGATCAGGTCAGGTAGGCAACGGCGTGTGATAATTTTTGGTATCGCAATAGTCTATATATAGGCCTTAGTGGCCGCTTACCATCAGGTAGGCCATATGCTTGATTGCCACCCTTCAAAAGAAGTAAGGCGTGGAAGTATCCTGCACGCCTTTGAATTACCTGATGAATGAACGAATTATTTACTTACTTAACGTCAAGTTTGTGCGAACCCTTGATGCGCGAGACGATGTTGCGCGAATCGCACTTACTTCTTAATAAATATATTTTAATAATTTTCATACTACACCGAAATGTGGTTATCATGATAATATAGGCTTTGATATTGATATTTAAACTTTTTTCTGTTCGCTTTATGAATTAATTTTGAAAAAATAAAAAGCGCACTGAAGATTTTATTTCAAATGAGTATAAAATATAAATAAAATTTGTTATCCTATCTACATCAGAGTATAATTTGTTTACCTATCTACTTGAGACGGCATATAATACTGATAATGAAGATTTATTTACATCGCCAGAAATAAAAGAAACTACCTAAGCAGTCATTAGGAACCTTTAGAAATTAAGAAACCAATATAAAGCTCCCATGCAAGTATGCTTAGTTACAGTTCCAGCTTTAATATAAATTTTAAATTAAAGAATTTGCCTTTTATTGCCTGGCAGGTATAGTAAAAAGCACGATGTATCCCTTGAAAGAAAGTGCCATTCCCAACTTGGGTGTATTAAGGCTCATGGCTGCACCTCGGACATACCCTCGTTGGTAATAGGTCACTTTCTCCTCTTGGTTAACAATGTACTATTGGTATTCTCTGTTTTCGCAGTTCCCGTGAAACCAAAGCACTCGCAAATGATAACGCTGAACACAACAACGGTGACCGTGTGGCTCGACTCGTGGGGCGACGGTGGTTGTGGCATCCTCTACTTCGTTATCGAGTACCGAGAGATAAGCCAGTCACAGGTAACTACTTATAGGATAGTAGGTAAGCAGTAAAATAGTCCACACTGGGCCCATTCCGCATTGTGCCCATTCCCGCGGGATTGTTGGGTAAGATACTTTTTAATAGAATACGAAGACTGGGCGGGCCAAGTGCGGATTGGTGGGTAGTAGGTACCTATAAAAATATTTGTAACTTCTTTCCAGCAGTCTTCAACGACACTCAAGCAATTTTTTTGCTTGTTTCAGTGGCGTCTGGTGTCAAACAGCGTGCAGGCAACGGAGCGCGTATTCAGCGTAGGCGGTCTTACACCAGCAGCACACTACCAGCTGCGGATCACGGCGCATAACAACGCGGGCCACGCCGTCGCGCTATACAACTTTACCACGCACTCGCTCAGCGGCAGTGAGTACAGCCGCCATGTGTCTATAGATATCACACCCGCCTGTCACCCGCCAGTAATGTTCAGCGTGGGGCGCACTAACAGCTGCGGATCACGGCGCACAACAACGCGGGTTACGCCGTGGCGCTATACAACTTCACAACGTACTCGCTCAGCGGCATAGGACCTACCTACTGATTTTGACAGTAAGAAAAACAAATGAAAATCGCACATTTTTCTAATTTAAATTTGGAATTATCTTCTTTACAATTGAAACTTTTTAATGATACCAAACCAGCCAGATGCAAATGGTAAAGCCAAAGAGAGTTTATTAGAAGTTCATACATACTATAATGCGAATATTTTTTCCCCGACCTTATTATAAAGAAATTCATCGAGTCTAATACAAGCCTGAGAAAAAAAACTATAGTCTACACCGAAGCGAAGCGAGGGCGGGCCACTAGTAGTATATTAATAATGCTGTACTGTAATAACGTATCCAACACTTTTTCGCTAGTGTTGGACGGGGAATTGTCACCGCCAGTGCCGGCTGCAGGAGCAAGGTCTTTAAGCGGCGCACGCGTCATCTTACCCGCTGCATTATCGCTGCTTGTATTGGGCGCACTGATCGCTATAGTGTTCCTGGTGCGGAGAAACAGTAAGTATATTTTTGATATAAATTATGGTATCTGCTTTATTCTACCTCATAAGGACTTAGTCAGATGTTGCCAGGTTTTCTAAATAAATTCTATTAATTTTAAATAAATACTTGTATAACAAAGAGACCACAACCAAGAAAAACAATTACTTAATTTTGACAGATCGTCAAACGGGATGGGGGGTAAAAATCTTAAGTGAATATACTCACGATATTATTCCGACTCCCGCTGACTTATTTGGGGCTAAAGAAAATATTACAAAAAAAAATAAAAAGTAATTCTATTTTTCTAGTAAATATTTTCTTTAGATTTAAACATCGAGCAGTCACATACTTAAAAAATGAAAATTAATTAAAAAATATATATAAATAATGTTTGTTTTTTTTTATCCCACATATGGGGCCGGTCTTTATATACTTCGATCACTCGTGTCCAAACTTTATGTTCATTATGATCTGCCACCATCTTTATCAAAATACGTACGCTGCGTGTGACAGCTTCTAACCGACTGATTGAGAAATTGCCCAAATCGCGCTACACACGCGGCAACGTGCAGGGCGGTTGGGACAATCTAGTGAGCGCTCCTGCCGCCCTGCCGCAGGCCCGATTTAGAAAATTGCCCCAACTTGTCTACACACATCACAATTCAGGAGGCAATTAAGGGTCATCCCCACTCTTACACCCTAGATTGTCCCTGCGACAGGCATGCCAGTAAGCGCTTTAACGCAATAACACTCATTGATACACCATTAATCGAATCACATTTTCCCAGAATCAGGTGGTACAGAGACAGCGGCCACAGAGAGCGGCGTTGGCGAATCACCATCAGTCGCGCAACTTCAAAACAAAGTGAACCGTGATCAGCAGTACTTGGCGACGCGTGCGCAACACCCCGCCCCACAGCATCACTACAAACACGCTTCTAACGGTGAGAACTTATAATAACTTGAAAAAAAAACCCACAAGTCTAGAGGTGGCAAAGTCGCCTTCGGTCACTCAACTGTAGAACAAAGTGAACCGCGACCAGCAGTACCTGGCGACGCGTGCGCAACACCCCGCCCCGCAGCATCACTAAAAACATGCTTTTAACACTGAGAATTACAACTAAAATTTAAGATTTTGTACTTCACATGTCTACCTTTGTCTTGCCTTCTGTAGATGTCAAGCTTTAAGGCTACGTTTCAATATTTTTTTTGGCAACGGACATGATGCGTCCTCGTCGTGCGATGATTATCAACATGCAGATTTCTTTAGAGGTGCCCTATTACAGCTCGTAAGCGATCGTACGAGTATATTATTTTCATCGCACGATCGTTGCCAATTAGGATGACGCCTAACGCGCTTAAAGGGTTTCTAAATCATTACAATGGGTAACTTAGCCTTAATGCTATTCTGCCACAAAAAATAATTTAAACAACCTACAAGAATTCTCCGAATTATCAACTATAGGTACCTATACTCATTGTGCCTATTTGTATAAAACAGTAAGCTGTGTTTCTTAACTGGTATAAAGTGAAATCACAGATACAGTACAGCTAGAATCAATATCTGTTTTGCCCCCAGAATACATCGAAGACATTTGCCCATACGCAACGTTCCAGCTGACCAAACCGACTGCGTACAGCGAGAGCAGCTACAGCGGGAACGTGTACAGCGGCCCTTACCACTCGGTGCGCGGCTCTTTCGTCTACCACGACCTCAAGCAAAACGACAAGTACAAGGTGAATTAATTGCTTTGTTCGTCCAAGTCTATTGATTCTCCGGTAGTTCGTCCCTACATACATCAAGATACAATAGTTCATCATCATCTTATTAGTTCAAATATTAAATACTTGTAAAAGTATTTCGTTTGACATTAGTAACCTACAATGCGAAGAGACCACGCAGCTTATGAAATACTTTAAGAAATTCGAAAGGTCTCTGCGGCATAGTTAGTTAGTACGCCGGCCGGATTGCGGAAGGTGCAGGTTCGAAGCTTATCATATAACTGGACTGAGTCGGTTTTTTTCTAAAATTTTCGTGAGTCTATAGTTCATGCTGAAATGTAAATCAAGGTTTGGGACAAGTTTAGACTGATCTTGGAAAAAAATAATATACAAATCCAAGAATATCAATGACTTGAATAACTACAGGTCAATATCGGGACTTCCTTCAATTTAATAAAATATTGGAAAAGCTTATTAATGAAGGAATAGTAAAATACATAGACACATTTAAGTTAATTTCACACTCACAATTCGGCTTTAGACAAGGTAAATCGACGGAAAACGCAGTAATAGGCCCGACTTCACTTATAACCAATCATTAAGATAAGAGACAGAGGTGCATCGCTATCTTTATTGATTTTAAAAAGGCCTTCGATACAGTTTCTGTGCCTATACTATTAAACAATTTGCAAGCTATAGGTGTAAGAGACATGGCTATGACATTACTTAAAGACTCCCTAAGTGAAAGAAGGCAAAGAATCAAAATCGGACATCACCTAAGTGATTACATAAATGGCACCTATGGAGTTCCACAGGGAAGTGTACTTGGCCCAACATTGTTTCTCGTCTACATAAATGTCTTGCTGAATCTAAAAATTTACAATTCACAAACACTTTTAAATGCAGATGATACTGCCGTAGTTTTTGTTGGGAAGTCGTGGAGTGAAGTTCGTAATAACACAGAGATCGGGCTAGAGCAGATTGCTCAATAGCTTGATACCAACCTACTCACAATAAATGAGACAAAAACTATTTTTTTTTTTTGAATTTTCAAATACAAAACAACAAACGGTTGAGGACCTACAATTAAAAATGCACAAATGTGATGATATTAAAATTGATAGTTGTGATGGTGTCGCCATCGATAGAGCCAGTAATGTAAAATATCTTGGTACAACTACCGAAATGTAAGAATTTATTAAAACTTGGTTAGAACCTCTCATATTTGATGAAACTTAATAATTTCTGACGATTGCATAATTTCAGAATTAAATGAGGTCTTATGTTTTTAGTAAATTTGTGTCATACATGGGAAGCCAGACCATATAAAATATATTGTTTATATCTTTATTTCTGTTTAGGTATATATTATTATATTTATCATAAATATTATTATACTAATTGTTATAAAATTTTGATATATTCATATTCAGTTAAAAGGAAGTTCAAAATGTAAGTTGAAAATGTAGCACAGTGATAAAGAAGCGAGATCTTCTAACACAAGTATTATTATACTTAAAAGGAGATCTCAACCCTATTTCATGTCAACGTTTTTTATAAAAACAATAAAAGCATTTCAATATTTTTTTTCTTTTCATGCTTTCGAATGTGGCAAAGCGTTCGATTGATCTACTAAACCGTTCCTTGCTATAGGACCGGCTGCGTTTCCTAAAAAAATCTTTGAAGCTTTCTCGTCTGCATTCCTCCAGAGCGTCATTGAAAAAGAGAGAGACCAAATTTTGTCAATCATAAATATTTTCAATGAAATAACCGTCATCTTTCCAGGGCAAAGAGCCGGAATATACAAAAGTGAGGAGAAAAGGAAACAGACTCCGAGATCCGCACTCAGAGAGCCAAGGTAATTATACCAACAGCCTGTAAAGCCCAGTATTTTGTCTAAATAAAGCTTGTCAATAAGTAGGTAGTTAGCCAGATTAGTTTTGGTTTACGTAGTTCGCACCTGATGATTAAGTTTACCCGTTCGTTAAGTAATGAAATTTAAAAATTTGACATACTAATCACCTTTTATGCAACCTGTTGGGAGCGTAAATGGTGTGTAATTGATAAAGGTAAGCATGCACACAGTATGTATTGTAACATACTTTAGATTTAAGTTTTCTCATTTTGTAATCGTCTAATCGTTTCGTGTACTTAGTCGTTGCCATTTGGATTGTTAGAACAGTGTTATCATATCTGAAGCTTATCAAAATGTTTTGCGCTATTTTCTCATTGTGGTATCGCATTCCAATGTTCACCTCATGCACTTTTATTCATGTACTGACGTCATTTCTGCTTTTCGCTTAAATTGTAATGTTATGGGAACCACACATTCTTGATCTTTAGATGTTGTAAACGTTGAAGTACAAAGTATTATGTTTTAAGACGGCTGAATGGAAACAAATTTTGTTCCCATGACATTATTTTAAGGTTGACAACAGGCGACAGAGTTTTGTTCGATCCAATCTGCAACATGATCTTTATCGTTAAAGAATACTTGACAAACAGAACAAGACCGAATGTCTGGATTTTTTAAATATTTTAAAAATAAATTTAACCAAATGCAGCGTATTTCGATATCTACATATTGATTAATTTACACACTAGCGCAAAGCCGAAGCGCGTCGAATTTCAGTAACAGTAACATAGTAAATTTACACTTATATCCGCAACTTAATGCACATATTCCTTCTTAGTCCAGGAAATGAAGCTAAAAAAATGGTAAAACCTCGCAATTTCTTCATCCAGCACCGAATGGTACAAAATTTTGGGATTAGGCTTATTTCACCCTCTTGTTCATTTTCTATATTGTGCCGTTGTACGCTTTTTGTTTTTTAGGGATGAAAACTAACCCCTTATTATCAAAAATTATAAAATAAAATTAAAAACCTAAATATGGGTAAAAAATAGTTAAAAAATGATTGTTTCATGCTTTAGGATACAATTTCATAATCTTTCAACCTACCCTTGTTATGTAATAATGTAAATAATGTTTTTAAGGGTAGTTTTACCCTTAAAAACATTGACATTTTTTATTCGAAAAAAAAATTATCGTTTTTTTTCATCTTAGCTCCTTTATTTAAGGTGATAGAAAAAAAAATCAGAAACGATTTTGTAGAGCTTTTCAGGAGATATAAGACTATGTGAATTAAATTACTTAAGATCCCTTAATTTTTTAATGGGGAGAGTTTAAAGCGCTTGATTAAGGTGATGTTCGGTCGTAAATGTAGGTATTAAACGGCTATATCTCGTCGAATATTCACTGTACAAAAAATATGCACACAGAGAATTTTTTGTAATTTAAAAAGCTACAATTCAGTACTTTATCGTTTTTTTCGTATTTTTAGTATTTTAGGAGATATTTTTAAGAAAATGGTGAAAAACACGAAATTGAAAAGAACGGTTTTCTCTTTAAACTCCAATTTTTCTAAAATTTGGCATTTTAAATTGGTCAAACTTCGTGGATGTAATAATAGTACATATATAAAGAGAATTACAGAAGGGTGGCGAACAATTTTAATTAGGGGGTACTTAAAGGGTTGTTTTCACAGATTTTTTTCGTAGCAAAAAGCGGGTACCGATATTATTTCGATCATAAGTCGCTCAATTTTTATTTATTTTTTATTTTCATGCTAGAGACATTGTTTTTATTTGTTTGAAAGCTCTAATTAAATACTTTAAAAAAGATTCTATGAGCTTTCTTCGAATAATGCAAATTTTTCTCGTTATTTCGCTGTAAATCTTTCAATTTATGCATTTGACAAAAAAAAACTAAGCATTAATTTGCTGTATCTTAGTTCATATTTGTTATAGAAAAATTATAAAAAGCGCATTGTTTTCGTTTTTTTAAAAACTACAAATTGACTCTTTACACATTTTTTGATAAAATGCATATTTTTAGAGTTATTCGCAAAAAAACATTTAAAAACGTCGATTTTTTTCGTCAAAAATCTGTTACTTTCAACTTTGAATAACTCAAAAATATTAGTTTTATGAAAAAAACGTAATAAAATTTATTTCTTAGAATTACTTTTTCCGTCGATTCCTACAGCTAAAATGTAATAAAAATTTACCACCCCTGAAATGGGGTGGCAACCACCCCCATGGCTCTAGCGTACAGCGGCATGATATAGAAAATGACCCTTGAGCTGTTCCCTACCTTTTGTGAAAATTTCAAGTAAATCCATGGGAAACGAAAAAAATGCGAGCCAAAATGCTTCATTTCCTGAACGATCTGAGCTTCAGCGGAATTCGCACGCAGACGCGATATCGCGATTCCGTCAATATTTTGGCGGTTATATTATCTGTCGTTAGACGATCCTGGCAGAAGTCATTTCAAAAGAACTTTAAATGCACTCCTCCTTCTATCGTACCATAATTCTGAGCGTTGTGATGTCCTGATTCATATTTCCTTTACAGAGCTGCTTTCAGTTCTCCCTATCTTAAGCGTGGTTAAGATCGTTTGTGATGGTAGTGTTAAGACATTTTAACACTTGATCGGTCCATCTAGTTCGGAACCGTAGGTTACTTTAACGAAATGTTTCGCTAACCGCGTCGTGTCGTTTTACATCACATTTAGTGTTTATAACCTTATATTTTTTCTTCTGGTCAACTTCTTTCAACTGCATAGAGCGATAAAGATCATGCTGCTGTCAAAAAGCTCTGTCGTTTCTGTGTTGGACCTAATGCTGGTACTTCACTTAGATATTCGTATTTGCTATTTGTAAACTTGACAATAGTCTGCGCTTATTAGGTATAAAAATAAGACTGATGTCAAGTTTACAAATAGCAAACACGAATAGCCAAGTGAAGTGCCGGCATAAAGCGAACGCCAACTGATGGTGCCTACTTTCCAGACTTGTGACCTATCGGATTGTGTTGCAGAGTCGGACAACTTGGGCTCGACGGACTCGGAGGTGAAGAAGATACTAACGCTGCACCTGCCCATTACAGAGTACGAGGACGACGCGAGCGACGACGGCAGCGCGCCGCACTCAGACAGCGAGCCTGCCGCCCGGCTGCGCCCCGCGCACCCGCCCGCATGTCAGTAAATCATACAAACACGCCCACATACGAATACTTGCACACCAACCAATGGCAGAGTACGAGGACGACGCGAGCAACGACGGCAACGCGCCGCACTCAGACAGCGCACCTGCCCGCATGTCAGTTAATCCTACAAACACACGCACATACGAATACAGGCACACACACATTTCGCACATACGCAACATGCACACAATGAGTGTTTTCTGCAATGACGGGCGCCAAGTGGTAGCACTGAGACGAAAGGTCTACTCCTCCCTCAAATCACGTATGTCGTCATAGTCCATGGATCAATTTAAATACTCGGTCAATTAATTCGTGCCAAAAAATTCATACAAAAGACCTCATGTCACAGTGGCGCTACCTGGTGACGTAAATTTTCCTATACACCCTCATTACGCACGCCCCAGCGCACATAACACACATCATAAACAAAAACGCAAGTCCGCGCGGAAATACGCGCATCCACATACTTGTACACACGCCTACCCAAACAAATATATTCGAACACTTCCGTGGCAGAATTTAGACGGGACTTGCGCTAAATGAAGAGGCGGCAAAATTTATCTGCCCTGACCCGGGTGCCAGAAACAAGAAACCCAATACTTCGCCACTACCGTGGCTACTTCCTAATTTTTAAGAAAACGATATATTTAATGAAACAAGCTAATACCGACGAAAGCTAAACTTTTCTGTCATTGATTGAATTATTGTCAATTCTTTGGACCTTGACAGTCCCCTTCTCTTGTGAGACACATTTTCCATCATCTTTTGAAAGATCGTGCGATGAAGAAAATGTTTTGTTTGTTCCCTTTGACAAATTAAATGTAAGTAGTATCTCATTCAATGCTCATGGCCCTGTAGCGACATACATTGTTGCAAATTGTCTATTCAACAAACCCGACTCATGCGACACGGTGGCTTGGCCTGGCAGTCGTCTGCGGAACACCCGCCTCGTTAAGTCACTATATTCTCTCTATTCCATGCATAGGAAAGGCTTGTGCCCCAGTAATGAGGGGATTCATACACTAATGTTGATGATATGTGACGAAGAAACCTTTTTGTTTGTTCACTTTGACCGATCCATTGTAATGTCTCATTTAATTTGTTCATATAGATCCCACCGTGGAGCGCGAAGAATCTTCCTCTTCGTCAGAGAACTCCGTGGGTGGAGTGGTGCGGAAAGCGTTCCCTTCAAGGAAGGGTAAAGCGGGTGCGCTGGGCAAACGGCATGTACGTTCCTCCAGCGGATACAGTAGCCACAACGACGAGACCACCTTCAGGTAAGGTCAAATCACAACACCCTATACCCGGATAAGCTTGAATCATCAGCACAAAGGGTAGTCCTCATCGTGGAGAACTTCATGGGCGGGGTGGTGCGAAAGGCGTTTTCTTCAAGGAAAGGCATGTGCGTTTCTCTAGTGGCTACAGTAGACACAACGACAAGACCACCATCAGGTAAAGTCAGATCCACGGCTGACCCGCCTTAACATTGAACATTCATACCACCGTTAAGCGGTAGTCGTTCCCTTCGTCTAAGAATTCCATGGGTAGGGCGGTGCGAAAGGAGTTTCCTTCATTGACGGTAAAGCGGACGTGCAGGGCAAACGACACGTGCCTTCCTCTAGCGGCGCTACAGTAGCCACAACGACGAGACCACCTTCAGGTAAGATCAAAACCAATCACCCTAACTACCCGGATAGGCTTGAAAAATTTGCACATAGTCTTCCTCATCGTCTGAAAACTGCGGAAGGCAATTCCTTCAAGGAAGGGTAAAACGGGCGCACTAGGCAAAACCACACGTGCGTTCCCCTAGCGGCTATAGTAGTCATAACGACGAGACCACCTTCATGTAAGGTCAAATCCACGGCTAACCTACCTTAACATTGAACGTTCACACCAACGTCAAGGGTAGGCTCCGTCGGAGAATTCCGTGGGCGAGGTGATTCGTAAGGCGTTTCCTTCAAGGAAAAGCATGTGAGTTCCTCTAGCGGATACAGCAGTCATAACGACGAGAACACGATCAAGTAAGGCCTTGTTGTTATTTGACCTTACTTGATCGTGGTCTAGTCATTGACTGCTGTATCGTCTAGAGGAACTCACATGCTTTTCCTTGAAGGAAATGCTTTCGCTAAGCGGCTATAGTATGTATGTATCGCTTCCTCGACGTCATCATCTCGTTCTCGGTGACAGTGACGTGAACAAATATCCTAACTCCCCGATCACGACTTATGATTTAGCGATGAGCGCAGCTAGGTCTGCGCGCATTAGGTAGACTGGGCTTAACGCAGCCCCGTCTCGCTGTATGCTTTGCTTCGTGGACTGCTTCTAATAGTAGGGAAGCACAAGCGGGGATTGCCCGATTTAAAATAACATGAGGGGGCCTTATTTCTATTCAAAAGACCGACGATTTGGACGCAACCAGAAGTCGTGGCCGTTTTTTAATTGTTATTTGCTACCTTAGATAAAGAGGTCAGGTATGGTAGGAGTACTATAAAAGGTTGCCCCCCTTATGTTATTTTGCCGCGTTCGTGTAAAATCTCAAAATCTCTGCTTGGGCTCTCTTACTATAATACCCCGTTTACATTCAGCCTATTCTATCTATTATATTATTTAAAATGGGTAAAATATCGCTTCCATTTCCAATACACTAAAATAAACATATACATAACATGCCTGGTCCGCGTGGATTTTTTTCTAGTAAACTTTTCTTTAGATTTAAACATCTAGCAGTTAAATGCTTAAAAATAAATAAAAAACAAACATATAAATATGTACAATACAATACACTTCGATTACACTCGCGCTCCGAATTTTTTCTTCAGAAAAAAAAACGGTATCCGTACATTTTAGCAGACCTAAACTACTTTGGCGAGTAGGTATTTTAAATCAACCCGAACGGCAGTGGTTCATTGTAAACGGGGTATAACATATTAGTACAATTGTTGTCATCCCTCAACACGTGCTAGAATCTAATGCGTCGGTCATTGCGGCAAGGTGGCCGTGGTCGAGCCATAAGGTCTCGTTTTAATTTAACGCGTATACGCGATCATCGAAGATATTGTAGGTCTGCTATTATCTCACTTCCTGCTTGCTTCCGACGACACTTTAAGCCATTGGTCTCGGCTGCATCTACAGTCGTTAGCACCCACAATTCCACGTGACTGGTTCTGTTCCGCTCTCTCTCTATCCCATCCTTAAGGACGGCCTATGCCCCAGCAGTGGGATACCAAAGGGATGATGATGATTACTCGATCATCGGTAGTTGGCGCGTATGTTTATAAAAATCATTCACATGAACGTCAAATTGGACAATTATTCATAAATCAGACCCAAATCGTTTAATTAGAACGACACCTTACTATTTCATAGCATCAACCGTGTTTCATCAAAACTTTGATCATGCATAGAAACCTGAATAAAATTCAGCGATATATTATCAAGACTAGAAAATATAGATTCTATATTCAAATAACCCAACATCCAACTCTTAAACATTTGTTACAGTATAAACTTTGCAAATCGCTCTTCCAACAATTTTCTCTCAAATTCCGCTTTTCAATTAAATACTTCATCGTTCAAACCAGGAGCATATTTACCCTAGGGTCAAGAGGGCCATGGCTCGGAGCGGTAATCTGCAAGGGGCGGCTGCAAGAGCTGCGAGGGTGGCAAAGGCTGTATAGAGGCATTCGTTACTGACCTATATTTTGATTCACTAAATCTGGGGGGTTAATGACCCAGGGAGCCAGATTCCAAAATACGCCCCTGCTCCACACACTTAGCCGCAAAACAAAAAGTACCACCTAAACTGCATGTTTTAAAAGTTTGACGACAGAACATCTCTCTTTCACCACGTTTAGGTAAAGGGAAATACCTCACACAAGTTCAAACGTTCCAGTATATCCAACTACCCGTCGTTCAACGAGCACATCCACCCACCATCGCGGTTCTCGGACGACACCGAGTGCGAGGGCGGTCACCACCGACGCAAGAGGCACCACGCCGACGGCAAGGTCTCGCGCGAGGCCTTCCAGATCAACGTATGAAACCCATAGATGATTAGATAGACTCTTAACAGCGTGCTGTGAACCATCGAAATCCTGGTCACTCGCAAGTCCTTTTAGTTTAACGTTTGCAACAACAACAGCGTATGAATCAACGAAATCCACAATTCCAAAGGTCACGCGCGACCCCTTCCAGATCAACAAATGCAACAACAGCATAATGAAATCCTCAATTCCAAGATCACGCGCGAATCCTTCCAGATCAAAATATGAACCAACAACAGCGTATTCTCAACGAATTCTATAATGCCAAGGTCACACGCGTTACTTACAGGTCAACGTATGAACTATCCGTTCGATAGACTAGCAGCCTATGAATCAACGAAATCCACAATGCCGCAGAAGGAGACTTTATTTTGTACTTATATCTTATCAAGTAAGGGCCACACCGGGAGCGAAACGAAGTTCGTTTACCCATATTGAAACACACAAACCTGTACCTGTCTAGATTTTACCCGCTCATTTTCATCGAGCCAAGAACTCGTACCCCAAGCGCGAACAACTAGCGAGAAAATATTCAAATAACCATCATCAAAGTTTCAATGGAAAGAGCTAGTTTGTTCTTACTTTCGGAAGTGGCGCTGCTTAGTTTCCATAGAAAGTTTGACATGGCGATACGAATACTTTCTCGCTAGTTGTTAGTGCTTGGGGTACTTAACGAAATGAGCGGGGAGGACTTTAACCCTCGTCTCGCTGCTGCCAATGGGCCGAAAAAGATTCAAGCCTTTCTAGACATTTAGATCGCTTCACTCTACTGAATTAGTAAGATGATTTTATTGTTTCGGTCCCAGTGTGGTACTCTACGCTTTAATTAGACACTGCCAACGAATTTTAGAATACTGTGGTTTGTCCTCGCAGATTTATTTGCTTACATTTTTTTATGAAACCATACAGGTTTTAAGTATTTCCGTATTCACAATATTGGTAGGGTTTTTAGCATTGAGTATCGGTGAAAATGTTTTCTTATCATTTTCTGTGAATAATTCAATCTTAAATGAAGATCTGAGCCATAATAGTGGATATATACAATAGGCTGAGATATTGGTTAAAATTACTTAAACTATAATTGTGAGGAACTTCCGGGAACTGCGATATTTTGATGGAAAATGTCCCTTGGAGTGTCAAACACTATTTATTAAAATCAATATTTTATTGATAAGAAAATTTTTGAGAAATGGCATTTTGAAAATGTGTACAATTGCATCGAATGTTTGTTAAAATAGTCAATAAAGGAGCCATAAAAAGACAACAAAGATAATATGTGGATTTAGATCACTCTGGAAGATGCACTATTGCCAATATTGCTTTTTTATCCATTAAAATTATAATATTCTCAACACATGAATATAAAGTGAACACGATAGGTGCATAAAAAATATAAAAAGATGCAGTATTTTAATTGTCGCCCAATCACGCGTATGGGCTTCTGAAAACTTTTTGAAAAGCAAAGTACGTTCGTTGATCTAATCTAGCATATTTATTTTGTGCATAACTTTTTAAATAATATCTAATTTGTGTTCAGTATTGGTGCCAAATAGTATCTTCATTAATGTATACCTGCATCACAACGCTTAAATACCTACCACCTTTGAAAGGATAATCATAATAAATCCTTCAGCATTATAATATAATTGGCATTAACTTCTGTGTATAAGTAACTCGCCAAATCCATGTTATCTTCCATACTACATTTATAATTTTGTAAATAACATAGTGTGTAGATAGGTGAACATAGATGGATACAAATATTACTCTTAGGCATTACATTTTTGTACTCAAGAATCGAGTATTTTTATCAAAACATTGTATAAACGATGCAAGATGTTATTATGATAAACTAAAGGAAGTACTTAGAATATACTGACGACTGTAAATTTATTCGAATATAAGTTGACACAGTCGCAAAGTGAGATAAAAATAAAATTGTTCTTTAGTTATTCAGTCATAAGGCTGATTTTCATAAAATTCATTCATTCAAAACCTTAATGTTTTCTTTTTTTGTCAAATATAGATATATACTTACCATTGACATTATACTTACATAACTGAGTGATCACATGTCAATCTATCTCTTTCCATTGTATGGATCGTTTTTAGGAGGAATAAAAAGTTGTGTGTTTCGCCCGATCGGCTTTCTTGTTCTAGCAAGGCACTTCACATGGCTATTCGTGTTTGTAATTTTGACAGAGGGCGGTCCTTTTCATACTCTATACGAAATGAAAAGGAGAGACTTGTCAAGTTAACAAATAGCAAATATTAAAGAAAGAGATAGGATGGATTGCACGAGTGTTCAGGCGGATCACATCATACCAGTCGTCATGTACATATAACTGTAATAAATGTGTATTTACAGCATTCGAGTGTAAAACATAAGGAGAACAATAATTAAAATAAAAAGTATATTTTAAACTTAATGCCTTATTGACCAAAGTCTTAAAACTAGTTGCGGATATAATTGGAAATATTATACCCGATAATGAAAATTATTGTTTGATTGTTGTAAAGTTTATGAAATGCTGGTTTTCATTGGAAATCTTATCATTGTCTATAAAAATAAGAATTGGAAACTTCCATGTAATTATTATAGTGTTTATAATTATCGTAGGAGTAAAATGTTTGTAAAGTGCCAACTATGGAGAAATATAAAAGTTATCTGTATACAAATATGTAAGTGTATACAAATCTCTTCATCGATACTAGTCAAATAATCAAATACTTAATTTAATATACGATCAGACGTTACTCTAGAACGTTAATGAAATTGTTTATGGACACTATGCTTATACCGCTGATACAAATGAAGTCATTCCTATAACAAAATCATGCTTTATGTCGGCTACTACATATGCAATGGAGTAATGGGACATTAGTTAATATAAGATCCTCAGATAACACAAGACAATACACTTACCTATAGTTTTTTTGGTGAATATGGCAGAAAGTTAACTTTGTATGTACATTTGAACTGTATCGAGTATGTTGTAGGAATAGTCCATGCGTGTTGAACACATAACGAGATGTTTTGTATTCAATAAACACATGTTTTATGTGAGTTATGTGGATTTATAATGATTTACAATCGTTTACGTTGACTCTCTTTAGTAATTCCAACGAAGACTGCCCTATATTTAATTGAGATCTATTTTATATATAATCTAGACACAAATACATATTGCTAGTCAATCGAAATCATTATGTAGATTTAGTAGAATTTGTGAATGATGATTTAAATATTTGTACCTATCTGAAATTGTGTTTACCATTGAAATCGAACATTGTGAATTCAATAATTTAAATTCACAAATGGCTATTATGGCATTTCAATTTATTGCAAAATTTTTGCAAATAAATGAGTATTTATTAATTTATCGGTCATATTTAAGTCTATTTGACAAATCTAGTCAAAATACCATATCATTTTTAAGAAATTTTGTTATTAAATCTTTGTGACACAAATAATGTAAGGATTAGTTAATCATGTTGTTACAGATATGTTTTTATAATGCAACAAATTAGCTATCGAGTATATTAGGACAGTATGATGTGAATGAAATAAAAAAAACATTTAATTGAAACTTTCTTTTATTTACCCTAGTAAGTACCTGTACGAAGTAATCGCGATCTTTTTCTTTGATTCTTATTATTTATTTTATTAGAGGACTTTTCCTTACTCACTCTCTCTATAATAACTGATGTTATTTCGTTTTGTGTAACGCGATCTGAAGAAATATATTTCTTTCAAATTCTGACCTGATCAAAGCAGCAGATCATCTTTCAGTCGCTGTCACTGTCGCTATCGGCTTCGGCGGTAAAGTCGAATGGTCGGAACTTTTCCCTAAAATTTTGCACGTGTGATATTTCCTCCTCTTTGCTGAGTTGACACTGCCGCCAATCGGCTTTATCTTCACAGTTCAATATCGGCGGAGTCGATAAAACATCTCTGAAAAATAATAATTATTATATCATCGCCTCGATCCTTACAAAAGTCATATCGACACGACTCTAACCGTCGTATTTAAACAAACATACAAAAAAAGTAAGAGACATTACTTCTGTTTAACCCGGCGTTCGCACAGTTGGGTCTATTTGACCCGAGCAGTTTTCAAATGAGCGTGTTTCTTAAAATGTTTGTGCGACTTTGCCAAACTTCTCAGTAGCTGGAGCTAATGGTCCCCCCTCCACGTGGGATTCGCCAATCAGTCGTGTTGCGGCCGCAGCGAGTGATAGACACGGCCAAACACGAAAAAGGTAAATATGACCCAACCATACTATTCGTGTCTTAATTTTGCGCCGTTTAAAAAAATGTTTTATTGTTGTTTTATATTGTTTATTTTGTTATTTTTGGCAAATATATCTGAAATAAATGCGTACATATTACATTACGCCAATTTCTAAAGAAACTTAAGCCTTATACTGGTTCGTGAGCATTTGCGCAATCGTAAAGATGTCATTCAGTTGCCAAGACTTATGCGCAAAAGAATAAGAGAGTTTTTAGGAGTAGGTACCTGATGAGGAGCCACCTGTGAAGATACTTTATGTAAGAAAGAGATGCCAAGACTGTTCTGCCAAAAAAGATAGAAAACTAATACTTTTCGGAGCTGTATATGCAAATACATCTGCAGTGACCATGCAATGTTGTACTGCCGAGATTGCGCAGATGATAAGGATACTATGACTGACGTATGAGACTGATACAAATAGTATAATATTATTAGTTTACTAAAGATTTGATTAACATGTAACAAATTAGTATATGTTATAGAAAAAAAATTGTTTTGTTAAAATTTTATTACTTTAAGACAGAGGTTGTCCATTTTGTTAATATTTTGTGACACTTTTATGAAAATGACATTAAAAAGATAGTTTCGTATCATGTTGTGTTTTTTTCTACTCAAAACCTATAACGATAATCGTTTTATACAGATAGTACAACCTCAAACCAAATTTATTTTAACTTTTGTAATTATGGCGTTTTCTTATACGGGTCCTCTCGACCCAACCCTACTGTCGTTGATGCATATTTTGACTGTGCTGACGCCGGGTTAAGTAACGACTTGAACAACATTTTCCATTTCATAATTAAGAAAATGATTAAGGTAAGAACTGTCGAAAATAAGAATTATTATAACTAGTGGCACTAAAGAAACGAATCGAAAATGCCGACGCAAGACATTCTGTCTTTGTCTCACACGCTACTTAGCACATCGTGTGCGAGAGGGGTAGAATGTCTCACGTCATTATTTTTACTATTCGATTTTTTTTACTGGCGCGAGATACAATTATCAACCACTTGCTTTATTGAATAACTAGCAAACCAGTGAACCAAATGTTCACCAAAAAAAAAATATTTAATTAATTGAGAACTTCGGAGATTTTGTGTGGTTTCGTTTGAAATAGAAATCACGTGATTTCTCGAAAACCTACGTTACTCACATCCGGTTTGTAGTCTTATCAGACTATACTTAACTTATAACTTAAACATTCTCTATATCTATCTCTTACGGTTTGGCCGCTGAAACAGCACCACGGACGGACGGACGGACGGACTTGTCTAATAGATAAGAGATTCTAGTGTCAAATAATGAATTGATTTACTTAGCAACTGAGTAGTTACTTAGCAAAAAGAAATTGTTTTTAAAAAATACGAGTATTAACAAGCTATCCAGCTAGAAGGAATAACTATGTAAGTAATATAGAAATATAAAAATATCACGTTAAACTGGGGAATCAATCTTAGTGCCACGTCTTGGGAGCAGGAAGCAGTCTCCAGCCCACTGCTGCAGTTATGTATAATATCAAACTTCAATTCAATATAATTGTTCATATTATAAAAATCATGTGACGCCTTTAGAGCTGTGCTCACGATATTATCCGCGTAGAAAATTTAATTACCATCGTAGGGTAACTGAGAATCGGACATCTAGTTTTCATCCCCCTAAATGTTAAGGGTGGTTTACCCTTAATTTTTTTTTGATGAATATTTTATTTTTATATAACCCTAAATTTTCACTCTTCTACCACCAACCCCTATTTTTTTGGCGGTACGAAGTTCGCTGGGACAGCTAGTTTCTATATAAATATTCTTAAATTTAAGAGAATAGTATTCTATCTGTTACCCTTGTTTCCCATTACACAAGCCTTTCAGTGGTTTCTTTGAGGCTTAGGCTAGTTGGTGTGCGTTAGAAATATTATTTACTAGCGGACGCACGCGACTACGTCCGCACTAACGTTAGTTTTTTGAGAATACCACAGGAACTAGACATTTTCCGAAATAAAAAGTATTCTGGTCATGAACTACACTTCTGGACACATCTATTGGCCCACCTTGTATTTACAGTTTCGTTTGGTCCTAGCTAAAATTTTATATTAGGTCGAGCAAAAAGTTTTTATGCAGTTTTGAACCTGGCACATTCACAATTTCATTCAATAATCTTTTTTTGAATTTCGAACACAGAATTTAAAGAAACAAAAGACAATTTGGAGCCTATTTGTTGATATCAAATAATCGAATACTAAGAAAACTTGTTTTTATTGGTTTACTTGGATTTAATTCTTGAAAAAGTGATTGATATCTTTGGTTTTACAACAAACATTACTTAAACATTTACTTATTCTTAACATTAAGGTGAGGTTCTATCAATAATCTATGGATACTTCACCTGAAGTCGCCGCCCAAGCTGTGGCACTTATTCAGGCCGGACACAGCCAAAGAAACGTGAGTGCTCAACTTAATTTAAGTCTATCTGCGGTCCGAAATGTTTATCGGAGGTACCTAGAGACTGGCGGCTTTGTTCGTCGCCAAGGAAGGCCACGATCTCGGGTCACAACTGAAAGGCAGGATCGATGCATCGTGACGACCAGCTTGAGAAATCGTCACCTTACCTCCATTGAGATACAAAAACAAATTCGCGACTTCCACGGAGTATCTGTGAGCGCTCGAACTGTTCGGAGAAGGTTAAAAGAGCGCGATATGGTACCACACAAGCCAGCTAATGGGCCCAAACTAACGCGAGCCCACCGAACAGCGCGCCTTCATTTCGCACGCAGTCATTTAAATTGGACACAGCAAGATTGGAGCCGTGTACTCTTTTCTGATGAGTCTAAAATTGTGTTACATGGCAATGATGGAAGGAAGAAGGTCTACCGACGTAAGGGAGAGCGTTTCGCACAATGCTGCTTTGAAGAGAGGGTTGCTTATGGCGGTATATCCGCGAGCGGTAAAACTCAACTTGAGGTTGTTACAGGACCACGGCTGCCAACATTAAATGCTGAAAGGTACATTCGTGAGTGCTTAGAACCTCACGTGATACCATACGCGGACTATGTGGGCCCAAATTTCCTTTTTATGCATGATAATGCAAGAGCCCATGCGGCCGGCATCGTCAGGGAATATCTGCGGGATGTGAACATCACAGTTATGGACTGGCCAGCCAGAAGCCCAGACATGAACCCCATTGAGCACATGTGGGACGAGCTAAAAAGACGTGTTAGGGCTCGTCAGCCAGTTGCCCAGACGATGCAGGAGTTGAAAACTGCCATAGAAGAGGAATGGGAGATGATCCCTCAAAATTTCATAGAGCGGTTGATAAACTCTATGCCTAATCTTATGCGAGCTGTGGTAGATGCCCATGGAGGCAACACGCGTTATTAAATTAAACCTTTATTTGACAAAACATGTTTTTTATTCAAAAATCAATTGCCTTTAACAAGGCACATATCCGACTTGTTAGGCGTAGCTCCATGTCATATGGTATTCTGAATTCAAATTTAAAACAATACGATCGAAAAAGATGGTAAAATGTATCAGGTTTAAAACTGCATCAACAGCTTTTGTTCAATCTAGCAATCATATTTCGGTAGGGGGCATCGAAACCTAAACTCTAAGGTGGGCCAATAGATGTGTCCAGAAGTGTATATGCGTACCAATTTTTTCCCACCAAATTTCATCCAAAACCGTTCAATAGTTTTTTTACGTGATTGAGTAACAAACATAGAAACTCACAAACTTTCATATGTATCTATACATATAATAAAATGGTAGGAAAGACAAAAATGGGCATTGAATATTTTTTAAAAGAATACTTGGGGTGTGATCTACTATAGATACCGAAGCCAAAATTATAGTTTTTAGAATTTTTGTTTGCTTGTATGTATGTCCGGGATATACTCAAAAAGTACTGCATGGATTTATTTCAAATTTGGCACGAATATTATCAAGAAGTCTGGTCAACATATAGGCTACATATTATCACGCTATCACCTACGGGGAACGAGCAGTGAACCTTTTTCTAACTAAACGCGTGCGAAGTCGCGGACGGCCGCTAGTAATACTATATAGTACGATTTATTTACCTTCCAAATTGCAAAGGGAAATGTTGTTTTGTCTTAGCGTACAATTGTTCGCCGCTGGGCAGCTCTGCGTGGAAGTACGGCGCTCCTGGCAACGTCATCTGGTTTATTTCCGAGTACGGGGGCAATACTTCCATCTGAATGCTGTTGATGCCGGCTTCATCCTGGAACAATACTTAATTTTCACAATACATCTAAGAAGTTTAAGTTAAGGCAATCAATAAGACATGTTAGAAGAAGTGAGTACGAGTTGGTTGGACACCGAGGGTTCTGTACTTTGTTGGTCCATCGTAACTAATATTATAAAATATGAATATATTATTTTTAAGCATTTAACTGCTAGATGTTTACATCTAAAGAAAAGTATACTAGGAAAAATTCCACGCGGACCAGGCAGCAGACGGGACTCGAACCCGCACCCTTCGCTATCCGGGCGAATGCACTGACCATTATGCTACCGCGGCCCTGACGGCCGTGTCGAATATTCTCTAGCCTTAGGCTGCAAGGCAGCGCCATCTCTTCGCATTGTAGGTTACCCACAATGCCAAATGAATACCTTTACAAGTATTAAACATTGGAAAGAAGAAATAGCAATTATAGTTATGTTTTTATTTTGTAAGCATTTATCTGCGAGATGTTTAAATCTAAGTAGGTTAAGGCGAACAATAAGACATACTAGATGAAAGAAGTACGAGTTGGTTGGACACCGAGGATTCTGTACAAATTTGTAGGTCCATCATAACTAATTTTATGAAATATAATCAATAATCAAAATCATTTATTCAGTTTAGGCTGTTACAAGCACATATGAATGTCTAGAAGCTACGCCATCGGTTCGTAAATCTACGGCGGGAGACCTTGTACTGAGAAGAACCGGCAAGAAACTCAGCAAGGGCTGTTTTTTTTTCTGCCTGTTTTATCATTTACAGTGTCGTCAAGTTGAAAAATGACTTCAGAGATGATTCATGAAGTCACCTTTCATTACATAATGTGAAATTATACCTCTTCACCTGCATTTTGATTGCTGTGTCACACAGTATAAATACAAACAGAGTTATTTATAATAGGTGTAATTAAACATTTACATCTTAAATATCAAAGTAGTTAGGGCAGACTCATCTCCGCTGGCAGCACCCGTTCACGAGCATGACGCATGAACCAGCCATCGCTTCGCTCAACCATATTTTAGAGAACGTAACGACCCGCCTCACACGACACCACCGAAGAGACTTTTAAGAGAGCATGACTACCTATAACCACCTATATCAACCACAACATATTTACTTAAACTTAAAGTCATTTATCTGTAGGACACTGCAAACAATTACAAAGCAAAAACAATGGAGAAATCATGACCACGCCGTTTTGTCATTCAAATCTTCTTAAAAAGTCTGATATTCTTCCTTCCGTAATCAACTTTAAATACAGCTTTTCAATAGAAGTATCATCAACACATGATTCATACTAAGTATATATCATATAGAAATACCCGTTGGAATGGTTGGAACAGTTCAAACCCAAGCATTTTTGTCTGAAATATAATCAGACACTTTATAATAAGCATTCTTAACATGAGATTTTTTAATAGTCGATTTAAATTTAGTCAGGCTTAACTCTTGAATATTGCTTGGGACTTTATTGTAAAAGTGAACACAGAGGCCTGTAAACGAATTATTAATTTTGTGGAGCCTAGTAGCAGGTAAAGTTAACTTATTTTTACTTCTAGTATTAAGTGTATGTATTTCACTATTTTTAGTAAATAAACTAATATTTTTTTGACATATACTAAGTTTCCATATATGTATTGTGATGCAACCGTCATTATGCCTATTTCTTTAAACTTATCTCTTAAGGAGTCCTTAACTTTAAGATTATAAATTGATCGAAAAGCCCACTTCTGCAACACAAATATTATTTGAATGTCGGCGGCATTTCCCAGTAAAATACCGTAAGACATTACACTATGAAAATAACTAAAGTAGACTAATCTGGCAGATTCTATATCCGTTAACTGACGTATTTTCATTACAGCATATGCTGCAGAACTAAGTCTCTTCGACAATTTATCAATATGTGGGCCCCATTGCAACTTTGAATCTAGTGTGATTCCTAAGAACACTGTGGTATCTACAAGGCTCACATTTCGATCCTTTATATTTACATTCGTTTTTACCTGTTTAACATTAGGTAAAACAAATTTCAAACACTTAGTTTTCCCTTCATTTAGCAGTAAATTATTAACGTTAAACCAGTGGACTACCTCAGAAATAGACTTGTTCACGTCGTCAATTTGCGACTGCCTACGTTTAATTTTAAACAAAAGTGAAGTGTCATCCGCAAACAATACTATTTCATGGTTATCCTTTACAAAATAAGGCAAATCATTGATATAAATTAAAAATAAGAAAGGACCAAGGATTGAGCCCTGCGGAACTCCCATCTTAACCGACGAACCAGGAGATTTTTCTCCATTGATGTCAACCCTCTGAACCCTATCACTCAAATATGATACAATAAGATCCAGAGTGGTATCTCCAAATCCATAGTGCTGTAGTTTCCTGATCAATGTTTCATGAAAAACGCAATCGAATGCCTTTGATAAGTCGCAAAACACACCAAGTGCATCATGCGAGTTCTCCCAGGCATCAAAAATTTGCTGTACAAGCTCAACACCGGCATCGGCTGTTGAACGACCCCTTGTGAAACCAAATTGTTTACTATGCAGAAAGTTATTACTATAAAAATATGATTGCATTTGATCTAGCATAATGTTTTCAAAAATCTTACTAAAGGTGGGTAGCACGGATATGGGTCTAAAATTTGTGGGGTCAGATGTGCTACCCGATTTATGCAATGGAGTTATTTTACTATGTTTCATTAGATCAGGAAAAACACCACAGTCAACACATTGATTAAAAATGCTAGCCAGAATAGGAGCTATTGTCTCAATTACTGATCTAGAAACATCCACGGAGTTACCCCACAGATCCGCGGTTTTCTTTTTATTCAATTGGTTAAAATATTTGATTATTTCTTTAGAGTCAACATATTTAAATTTAAATTGACTAGTACCTTGTTTTATGTTTTCTTTTATTATTGATTCAGCAGCAATGGGGGAGGAGTCCAAGGATTTTGTAGTTGAAACTGGAATATCAGTGAAAAAATTCTCAAATGCTGTAGCAACTTCAGTATCTGATGTAACATTTCTATTTTCAATGTTTAAATTAAAACTGGTATTTAGAGTTTTAGATTTTCCAGTTTCATTGTTTATAATGTTCCATGTCATTTTGATTTTGTCATTACTATTCTTAATCTGACTACTTAAATAATTTGATTTAGCTGTGCGACATACCTTTTTAAATAACTTAGAATAATTACGTACATACTCTCTGAAACTTTCAGTAGTATTAATGCTGCGTTCATTGTATAGTTCATAAAGTTTTCTTCTACTGTTATGTATGCCTGGGGTGGCCCACTCACTGAAGGTTACTGCATCACTAACACATATGGTTTTGGGAACGAAGACGTCATTAAATTCTTTACAAAAAATATTAAAAAAATCATTATACAACTCATTTGGACTGTCTTTATACTTTAAATAACTCAACTTCCTATCTAATTGAATTTTAAAACGCTGTATACGATTAACTGATTTTGACACAATAGTGATACATTTCTACATATGAATATATTATTATGTTTGTTAAGCTTTGACGCCTAAACCACTGAATGGATTTGGATGAAATTTGGTGCAGATGTAGTTTATGACCTGGATTGATACATAGGATGCTTTTGATCCCGGAAAAGTGTTAAGTTCCTGAGGGATTTTCAAAAAACTAAAATGAACGCGACGAATTTGCGGGCGGTCGCTAGTAAAAATAAAAAGTCTACAAAAAATCAATCGTCCACAGAATTATTACCGCACATACCATTGCTTAACCTCAATGATTGAACTTGCAGTATAAAGAAGATATTAATTAGTAATTTCTTATTTCTAGATCAACAGAAAACACCAATTAATTTGATTCCTTTGATATTGGCGAAAAATACGCTTTGTGCAACCTTTTTTTTATATTAATATGGAATTCAACAGGTATGGAACCCTAAACACACATTTTATTTATTTATATATAGCCGGTACACACAAATATAGATACAGGAGCAAGTTAAAGAAAGATACAAGTACAAGAGCACAACTTATTTCAATCTAAAATTTCTTCCAGTAAGCCCGTAGTAGAAAAGAATATTTATCTGTAAAAGAATTTCAAAATGTTTAACAGTTTACCTGAAAAATTTCTAGAATTTGCGAAGAGCACTCCCTTGGGACCGGAACTGCCTGTATTTGCATGTGGGCAGTACGGTAGTTGCGTTCAAAAAACACCACCTCCATCTTCATTGTGGAAACGAAGTTCTTTAGGGCGTTTTTGAAATCCTTTATTTCTTTCACAACTTCATCTGGAGCCTGTGATAGATATTAATTAATAATAGTAATCTTTATTTACGAAAATATATATATTGCTTAAAAACATGTGTACAGCAAAAGCTGCTGTATTATAAAACTGTAAATTCATCAATTACTTAAAATAAGTTTTCTACAATAGAGAATAATAAAAATGTGGTCTGTCCAAAATATTTGTAATTATAATAAAAATGTACACTTTTAGTCTGCTGAATAATATAAATGAAAACATTTAGTCCAGTCTATATCATGTGCATTATTTTACCCTTACCCTTGTAATAGACTGATGGTGTGCAATAGGCAATATAAGTGTATGGTATGGAGTCAATGGACCTTTTGCCAGCGCCAAATAACAGTGTGTACCAACACATATCACCAAGTGCTTCTCAACATTAGGCGATGATAAGCAAAACCAACAGCTATCTGTGGAAAAATAAATAGCGACAATAAACTTATCTGACTCTGTGATTTGAGGTATATACAAGTTTTCAAGCTGTTCGCCTAGAGAATCTGGATTTGAGTCCTGGTGGGGCAAATGTTTGTTTAGTGAAAGGGTTACTTTGAGGCTAGGCTAATGAGGTTGTTTTGGGAAAATTCACGACACTAGTTGGCGCCACTGTGGTGAGGTCTCTTTGTATGAAGTGTTTGGAGCGAATTAATCGAACGTGCATGTTTAGTAAACAAGCATTACTTTGAGGCTAAGCTAATGAGGTTGTTTAAGAAAATTCACGTCACTAGTTGGCGCCACTGTGGTGAGGTCTTTTGTATGAAGTGTTTGGAGTGAATTAATTGAACAAGCATTTATAATGCGATTCAAATAAGAATAGGAAAGCCAATGACCTCTATCTGTCAAATGTCGCTTAAAAAGTACGATTTGCAAAAAAATCTTGGAACCCTTTTTTAGCACTCTGCTAATTCGAGAATAAAAACCAAACATTTGTAAACAAACAATAACAAATATTGATAATTAATATCGGTTCATATTTTTTTTCACTAATTGAGCTTTGGCCATGAATGGTTGATAACCTAAATCGTCAACAAAATGTCACTTTAAGTTGCGTTCAAAAACTCGATTTCAAACTTTCGTTTACATAAAGGATGCATGTTCATAAGTGACCTAGTAATAGTGCATGATTATTCATAACTATTCCGGCGGTAATGCAGACATGAGCGGAATAGAAGACCTAGATTCTGCTTAATGTTTTTTCTCAGTCTTAATAAATAAACATTATTAAAAATCGATGGTATTTCTTTATAAATCTTAGTAAATAAATGTTATTAAAAAAAACTGATGCTTTTTCTCACTTAATCTTAGTAAATAAGTTTAATTAAATAGAAACTTTTTTATGCTCACTCTACCTATTCGGTTTGAATTGACAGCTATGACATCACAATATGGCGCCCAGTCGGTCCTATTCTTAGTTGAATCGCATTATAAATTATTTCTTAAACTATGGTGACATCTTGATATGACAGATGAGTAGACCTTTTGTCTGAGTGCTGCCACCTGGCGCCCGTCATTCCAGAAAACCCTAATTGGTGAGTGTTAGAAATATAAATTAATTTATATATATTTATCCTTCTTTTAGGTATGTACAAAATAAGCCACGTTTATTGTCTATAATTTGACAATTAAAACTTACATGTAACTGAAATAAATGTCACTCTATAGACAATTATGAAAAATATATACCTGGGTCCATTTCTTTTCTTTTTTTCTCAGGGTTATCTCCGCTTTTTCTTTTCCTTTTCCCTTGATCATCATCTGTTGCATCCATATTGAAAAAGTATTGGCCATTCCCTGAAAACTACGTAAAAGACGATTGATTTTACTTTTTGTTTTATTTTATGTTTATCTAGCAAATTTTGTACAATGAAATATGCCAATTATATATCTAAGTTGATGGCATACAGGTAATATGGAAGCATTGTAATGCAATATAATTTTGGGTATTCCATAAATTTAACAACAATATCCTGTGAGGAGTGGTCACATGATTGCATTAAATTTTTTATTATTATCTTCAAGCAACAATAAAATGGAGGAACTCGATGGCGCAAGTGGTTAGTGCGTTCGGCTGCGATCGTTAAGAAACTTTCGCAGTGGTCGGTCATTGGATGGGTACCCAAAAATTTTCTATCTCGAGTTCCTCTATGCTTCGGAAGGCACGTTAAACCGTTAGTCCCGGGTGTATCTGCAGTCGTTAGTCGTTAGTAACCGCCAACCCGCACTGGGCCCGCATGGTGAGTCTGAGTCATGGCCCAATCTCCCTATTCCATCCAATGGGAAGGTTTGTGCCCCAACAGTGGGGACATTTATAGGCTGAAGATGAACAATAAAATGTATAATCAAAACTGAGCACCACCCCACTGATCCAAATACTGCCAAACAAAAAGTTCAGTTTATCAGGATCAAAGTTAATTTGATGATTGCAACTTGGTGCATTTAATAAAATATTATTGACATGAATTCAGTACTATTTAGTGCTACCCTACTACCTCAACATTGTTCTTACCTTTACAACTTTTCCTGGTTGATGTTGTTTTAACAATTCTGGATCATAGGGGCAAGGTGTTTCATCAGTTGTTGCTTGTAGAAGATCTGTCATTCTCATTTTAGATATAGGTTGCAATGTACAGGCGTAAATCCATTTTTCCTTTGCTTTATTACCAACTGGGGCTAAAGCTATAAACCTTGTTGCGCATTCTCTGTAATCTTGGTGCACACTTTGGTTTCTACAGAAAACAGGTTAAATTAAATATTCTTGTCTATATTTGTATTACTTAAATATAATATACCAGCTGCCCCTTCGTACCGCCATAAAAAAATAGGGGTTGGTGGTAGAAGGGCGAAAATTTTGGGTTATATTTATTTTTGTATTATGTATCATAAAAAAATTATCTAATATTGAAAAAAAAAATCTAGGGGTGGATTACCCTTAACATTTAGGGGGATGAAAAATAGATGTTGTCCGATTCTCCGACCTACTGAATATGCATATAAAATTTCACGAAAATCGGTCAAGCCGTTTTGGAGGAGTTTAACCACAAACACTGCGACGCAAGAATTTTATATATGAGATTTGTTTCTAAGGTTTTCACGCACATCACTAATTAAATAAGATTAGTTTTTACGGGTTAGATGTACTGAATCTATTTATTTATTGATGGATTCCTGAAAAGGAAGCGAAATGTCAATAAATAAATAGATTCAGTGCTATCCGTAAAAACTAGTTTTATTTATATATAACAATTAAGCAGGACAGATTGGCTAGTAATTTAAATGAGTGTGTATAATACACTTCTATATGAATGTGTATATGTGTAATATTTCACTATTTATTAAATTTTATTGATTTATTTAATTTCAATTGAAAAATCACGTCTTGAAAATTTTAAGAAGTTAACAGACAGCTTTTTATCAGAATCAAATTTACCTATATGGTTGCCTTTCATAGTATTTGTCTGAAGATGGAACAAAGTGGTACCGAGGCTTTATGTGGATGGAGAGCCAAGATAATAAATCTGAAAGGCATTCAGGCTGCAATTGAACCTGTAAAAAACAAATATAGGTTTTATTTTATTTTTTTACTACAATATCCAAAATAACCTTATATAAAATCATGCAATAACATCTAAAACCAATTAGGTTTATACTGTACTATCGGAGTTCACAACTTTATTATTTAAAACATATATTTATAATGCTGTTATACAAAGACAATTCATACTATATTTGTAAGCTAGTATTATACTAGCTTTTTTTATTACCTTTTGTGTTTCATCTTGTTGTATGCCAGCTGGCCATAATGTTGTTATGAGCACATCGACGCCTCTGAATTCAGCCTGACCTCTAAAGCAGGCATCCCTAACTGCACTGCAGTCGCTCGGCTCAAAAGTACACATTGGCACATCCTTGCCGAGCTCTCTACGTGACAGCCCCGACAAGTATGCAATTTTTACATCCATACTTGTAGTGAATATTCCCCTCTTCCCTAGACAATTTTAATAGTAATCTATAATTGCTTAAAAAAACTTAGAAATATTGAATAACATTAAACTTAGACAACATACCCATATAAATTATATTAGGAGCTATCTCTGATCCCTCATCACAATAATATTGTATATGATCACTGTTAGAAGGTCCAAATATGTAGGTTGTGACAGGAACTGAGAAATAAAAACAAAATTAATGTGTTTATCAAAATTGTGTAAAGTTAACTTTATTATGATAAACATTATATTAACTGTTACCTTTCCTTGTACCCATTTTATATGCATCAAGTTCAGAATTATCATTCCCAAAAAAATTTCCAACACATAGTAAAACGTCAAATAGGCCCGATTTTCTCACGATTGACTCGACGCGTGAAAAGAGCATGTTAAAATTCCCATTTACATCTCCACATATGAGTCTACAACAATTAATAATTTATATTAGTTGGAGCAACAACAAAGAGCTTGTAAAAGAATATACTTATTAACTTATCACAATTCTTTAATTTATTACTTACGTTTTCTGTTTATCCGTCATTTTTATTATTTGTATTTATTTTTGGCATAAGGTTAGAAAATATTTGAAGGACGCTGGTGCCAATTCTGGCGTGATTCTTTAAACTTAAAACTTAATTGAACATCAGTCTTTACTTCTCATTCTTTAAAGAGAATGACAGAGATACACTGTTGTCAAATTTAAGTTTAGATTTAGAGAATCGTGCCAGAATCAACACCACTTCTGTCAAATTTAAGTGTAGGTTTAGAGAATCATGCTAGAATCGGCACCACTGTTTTATTAGCAGCCGTATATTTTTTTTTAATGTCTTTTCTTAAACTTCAATAGTAAAATTTTTTACTATGAAAAGATGGCCTCTACTCTTTTGAGATGAGTCACTTTCTACATAAGTTGAGTTTTGTAATAAAATTTCAGAAAAGGTACTCGATGTTTAAAATACAATTATGTTTTCAACCGATACATCAAAAGACATCGATGTATAGATGCGATGTATGGAAACAATAAATACATCGATGTTTTGTTCAGAGTGGACACCCGTAGTCTGAGGTTTTGGTATGATGTATTGTTTAGTTGACTAAATACTATATTGGTATCGATTCTGGCGAGATTCTCTAAACTTAAAAATAAATTTAACATCAGTCTCTTCTTTTCATTCTGTATAGAGAATGACAAGGATACACTGTTGTCTTTAGAGAATTGTATCAGAATCGATACCATTATGTATATGTATATCTAAGATGTATAAGGGTCAAATTTTGTATTTTTTTTCTAAATGGCTTCGCAAGGCTAGTGCATTTAGCCAATATCAAGTGTTAAAATGTTTACAAATAATATAGCACTCGTGGTCAAAATAATAAGTCAAGCCAAAGTAAGTGGCAGTCAAGTCAATCCCCCTTTCCCTATGTTTCAGCAAAAGTGTGGGGATTTACTGTAACCTCCCCGTGGACTTCTTGAGGGAACGTCAAAAGACACTTTCCGCTATTTTGTTTCACTTGCCAACACTTGTGCATGTTCCCGAACACTTAGTGGTTAATAATCCACCATTATTAGACACTAAAATCCGCCACAACACAATTTTCAACAAGAAAAACAAAACTGCTAAAGGTGTCGATTCTGACAGGATTCTCTAAACTTAAAACTAAATTTAACATCAGTCTGTCCTTTTCATTCTGTATAGAGAATGACAAAGATACACTGTTGTCAAATTTAAGTTTAGCTTTAGAGAATCATGTCAGAATCGACATCAAAGTTACGCTTCCCGATCCCGCCAAAAAGTCTCAAAGTATTTTTTTGGCTGTTGCCTTTTCTGACAGCCGGTAAAATATTGAAACTGACAGTGACAGCTGGCGTCATGTTGTGTTGTGGAGGTTGACTTTGTGGTGCTGTTAAGGTGTTTTAGGCATAGTAAATTACGTTTTGTTTGTATTTTAAATCAGGATTTAACTGTTTTATTTTGGTAAATTATAGAAAACTGTGTGTTTAATAGTATTTTTTATACAATCTCCTACAATTTAATGCTCATGTTATCAAGTGTTATTCTTTGTGATATTTGACTGCAATAAAAATGGCATCATCGAGCAAATTACCCGGTACAGGCTTGGAAGATGTTGGCGTACCAGGCCAAACTTACTTAAGGGACGCTCTGACAAGCTGTACGGATCCTTTGAAGGCTATTGAAGAATTCCAACTTGAAAATGGTATATTATTACCGTCGCTCAGACCCATGTTGCCATTGTTAGACCTCCATGGGGTAAGAAGACTGGATTTTCATACATCAGTTTTAGAAGAACTAAGAGATAAATTGATAGCACATATAAATGAACTTGGCACCAAAGAGAGCAAGGAGAATGACAAGAAACTCAAGGAACTCTTGTCCAAGAGTTTTGCCGTTGTCAGAGTCAAGGCATTAAGGCCAGTAATAATGAGCATCCTTAAGAATACACCTCATATAGATGATAAATATCTTAAAGTATTAGTTAGAGACAGAGAACTTTACAATGACACTGATACTGAAGTGAAGAGACAAATCTGGCAAGATAATCAATCACTATTTGGAGATGAAGTGTCACCATTATTAAGTCAATACATAAGAGAGAAAGAAAACATACTGTTTGATCATGAAAACTTAACAAACCTTTTCTTTTCGCCGTCCCCTAAAGTGAGGAGACAGGGTACTGTGGTTCAAAAACTTGCTCACATGATTGGAAATAGTGTAAAGTTATATGACATGGTTTTGCAGTTCCTAAGAACTCTGTTTTTAAGGACTAGAAATGTACATTACTGCACACTGAGAGCAGAGCTATTGATGGCCTTGCATGACCTGGAAATCCAAGATATCATATCGGTTGATCCATGTCATAAGTTTACTTGGTGCTTAGATGCATGTATAAGAGAACGAAATGTTGATATAAAAAGGTCTAGAGAACTGCAAGGTTTCCTGGACAGTATTAAAAGAGGACAAGAACAAGTTCTTGGAGATCTTTCAATGACCCTGTGCGACCCTTATGCTATTAACTTTTTAGCTACATCAGCAATTAAAATTTTACAACATTTGATTAACACAGAAGGGCTTCCAAGGGATAACACAATATTAATACTTTTACTGAGAATGTTAGCATTGGGTCTGAGTGCATGGGTAATGATTGATTCACAAGAGTTTAAGGAACCTAAACTAGACAGCCAAGTAGTGACTAAATATTTACCTGCTCTTATGTCCCTAATGGTGGATGATCAAGTACGAGCATTGCATAATAAGTTGCCCCCAGATGAAAGAGAATCTGCTATAACTACTATAGAACACTCGGGACCACCACCAGATGCCTGTGAGGCTTACATGAGAGAAAGCTCAGTTTGTGGTGTTCTAGCCATGTATTACACTCTTCATGCAGCAAAACTAAGAGACCGAGGGGCCTTACTTAGAATCCTTAGCATTCTAGGCAGTTGCAAAGATGGCAGAGCTTATGAGGATCCATTCCTGCATGCCTTGGTTGCCCTACTTATTCAGTTGCCTGATGAATTTCAAGGTGAAGACTTCAGTACAGTTTTATTCGATGAGTTCTTTTTTGCTGGCCTCTCCAAGGATAATGTAACAAGACATTTGTTGAAATTGCTTTGGTACATTCATCCTAAGCTTCCGGAGACAAGAATACAAACTCTAATGAAAGCCTTACAGCCAGGCACACAACACAATGAATCTGTACATAAATTACATGAAGCTTTACAACAAAAGTTAAATTCACAATCAGAGCCAGTACCAAGTACAAGTGAAATGGAGTACTTAGACTCTCCATTAATGAGTGTGCCTACTCCAGCTCCTTATCATATGTGACTTTGTTTATATTATATTGTTGACTAGAGATATTAAGCAGAGGCGTCTTTACCTATGGTGCAGGGTGTGCGTTGCACACGGGCGCAAAGTCCTAGGAGGCGCCGAGCGCCGACGGCGCTCGAACGAAGTCCCACTTGCCGCACACGACGGCCGTATGACTTTCTTCTTCAAATTTAATTTCCAAACAATAGAAGTTATTATTCATTTTTGAAAGGATATTGCTCAAATTGGCCCAAATGCACAAAAAATATTGACATATACGGTAATTCTTGGTGTAATTTATAATTTAATTTACACTAATTACATTTCAACGGACACCTTTGTATAATATATTTACTTTAAAAAGGACTTTTCATTTTACCCGTTTGGAAAAATGGCTATGGGTGTAGTAACATTCAGCCAAAGACTAATCAAAGTTGTTTAATAACATGAAAACAAATCTATTTTATAAAGATCGATAAAATAAATCAGTTTTTTTTATTACACTGTGGTATTAATATCCACAACTATATTATCATTTTCACTAGATGCAAATGTGCTCAGACAATTATTATAGATGGTAGGCGACATCATAAAGTCTATTGCCATACATTTTTCGCCAAACACCTCCATAAACACATTATAATCTGTATATATGTTAGACTTTAAGGTATGGGAGCTATGGGCCTACATTCCCTGACTATAAATTAATAAATAAATAAAATTATAAGGTGTGATACACTAAAAATCTAAAATATGGTTATCTTAAAAACATAACAAAAATAATGAAGCTACTGAATATATGGCTATAGAACCTAAATCTCTTAGCTTTCTTTGGTTAACGAGAGTTTAAAAAATCTCTCTAATCTGTGGCTCATTCACAATTATTATCACACAGTTTCTGTGTACCTTATTACAACCGGAAATGACACATGATTTTAAAAGTTACTCTTATGCATTAACTTTAAAAATAGGCAACTATCTGTTAATCTACATGCTCTATATACCTGAATCTAATCCATAATTTCGGTACTTGGCTTGATTTCCCTAGTTTACTATATAACTTATTTGTTTTTTATTGAAGTGAAACTTCTTTATCGGCGTTGGAAAAAAATTTACCGTCACATTTTTCGGTTACGCGTCACATTTTTCCGTTACGCGCCATCTTTTTTTATATTAATAGTTGATAGCTGAATGATCACACTGTCGCCGGCGAGAACTCTCTCTACTCGTTTGTAGCTGAGTGACAATAGTTATTAAAGATAAGACTCGCTCAGCCAAACTCGCATAGCGTTACTCGCTCAGCGATACTCGCCCAGCGATACTTGCTCAGCGATTCTCGCTCAGCTATACTCGCTCGGTTAAGCTGCCTTGGCTGTCAAAAGCCGTGCGCGTGCATTTTAACTCAGGACTGCCAATTCGTTTCTAGTTTCTACTCGCTTATCGTTCATCGTCGGAGGTGGAACATGTGCCTTAGATTACTGAGCCGTGTAATCATAACAGTTTCATAGGCAGTAATTTGTATTCATGTCTATAATAATAAAATCCTTTTGTTTAAACTTTATCTAATTTAACTTTATTTAACCAATTTCTGGAAAGTTGCATGTAGATCATTTTTCGAAAAATAAGGCCATAAAGAAGTTTCACTTCTTACGTGTGTACACTAGTACACGCACACATTTTTTATTTTAATATGTTCAGTGTATATGGTTTATGGTTAGAAGTTCTCAGGGGTGTCCGTCAATAATGTTCGTTTCTACAGTAATTTGTTTATTATTTCGAATCTAGGAAACAATTTTTCATGGTTATTGGTCTTTAGGCCAAACTCAAACATGTATGAAAGCTGAGCAATCTCCTTTGACAGTTTGATTGATGTGTTTTTACTTGTACTTTTTACCCATTCCATTGTGATCACACGCTTACTAGGGGGCGCTAGGATAATTTTGCACACGGGCGCCACATGGGCTAGAGACGCATCTGATATTAAGTAATAAATGATTACACATATTTACAAGTAAAATCTTTTTTTAATTGATAAACCTTATTCAAATCAAGACAAATTTTAAAATAAACAAACTTATTGACTGTAAATATTTATTAGTACCAACTTAAAATTAAGTACAAATTGTTATTTTCAGAAACTTTTATATGCTATTGTATACAGATCAATGGACGGAATACAGACTGAGCATGTTTATGGCAGTTAAAAGTTTTAATTGAACAAATATTTTAAATTGATCTAGCGTGATTTAGTAATACGAAATCTTAACTCGAAGTTTTAAGTTAGCTGCACGTTGTTTACGTGCGGTGGTCGCGGCGATCTGGCTTCATGTCGAGCGAGTGTAGAGAGCGCAGTGAGCGTGACCTCTCGAAGAGGGATGGGTCGGTGTATATGGGTTCGCTGCCATCGTCAAAAGCGTTCGCTAGTCGTCCAGCTGAGCCGGATTCTTCCCCGACTTCGCTAAACGTTCGTCCCAAACCACTGTGAATGTAAGAAGACCACAATAAATCTAAAAAGTTAAAGTTACTGGTATATTCTTCCTAAGACAGTTAGAACTGCATAAGTTATTGGGGTTATTTAGTTAGGAAGCAGATGCCTCATGGTCTTATTCTGTTCTTTTGCTCAAACTAACTGCCCGGTTACGATTTTGCTTAGCGATGAGCGCAGCGACGGTCTGTGCGCAATCAATAGGCTGGGTTTTACACCAGCCTCGTCGCTGTGGCCTTCGCTTCGTGGTGCACTTCTAGCATTTTTTGTACATCTGTTGGGCTCATCGCCCATGCGTGCATCGTCTTTCTAGTTGTCGTTCATAGCAGGTACCTACAGGTGACAAAGCCAAGGGCTATGGCATGAAATTAACAGTAAAATTCAAATAACTCAATATTCATTTGTTCAGTATAAACTTTTACAAACACATGTGAAAGTAGAAAGCTACGCCATCTTCCCAAATCAAGGCGGGAGACTTTGTACTGAGAAGAACCGGCAAAAAGCTCGGCAAGGGCAGCTTTTACTGCGTGTTTTATTTCATACAGTGTCGTCAAATTCAAAGCTGACATAAAGCTTAATAATAGTAGGTACCTCAGTGAAAAAGGTTTGTGAAGATGCGATGCGGAGAAGAGAGAAGGTCGGTTGGGCCTTGGTCCTGGTGTCACAGGCCGCAGTGCCGGTGCTGGGCTCGAAGCCTGAATATTCTTACGTAGAACTCTCCAGTATCGTCTGCAGAATAATTGTTTTATTAGATACTTCAATAACTGTTTATTACGCCGTAATAATATGGTGTAATTGTAATATACCTATCTACTTTGAAAACTCCTGTTAAAAACTCATCAATCAATGTTGATGAATACAGAATAGGTATTATGTAATTGCTAACACAATTTGATAGGAACTGATACCTAACCGTAACCACATAAAGTCAGTAAAACTTAAATTCTAGGTTTCCGTGGGAGTGAAGGGACCGAAACTATATCTTAATTTTTTATGGGAAATTAATAAAAAATAGGTCTTAAGTTGATTATTTTAATCTTTCCTTAGGAAACATTCGGTGTGTGTTAAACATTGTGCTGGGCGAATAACTTCGCAACCGAACAGCACCATCTCCGATCCGAAGTCCTTAGTTCGAAATCCAGCGTAATTCAGGTACCTATGATAATAAATAGGTCGAGTGGGTTGCAAAAGCTATTTGCAAAGGCGTCACGATCGCTTAGGGGTCTATCCCCAGCTGACTCAAATAAGAAACATTATTTTTTTAAATCAAGGTCCGACAAATGACTCCACCCCACATGATGTCATGAGACGGTGGTGTAGTTTCCGTAGCACTTTGACGATGGCGATACGAATACTTTCTCGCAAACTCTTCGTACTTGGGGTACTGGTGAGGGTGTACCAGTACTTACCAAAGACCGTTCTTATTTTTATATGCACCTACGCATATAAAAATATAAGGTCTTTGCGATCAAAACAATGTATGCTATATAGTACCTACTTTAAAGTTTATTTCTTATATTTAATTATTTCTTCCACGGAGAAGGGTTTAAGAGACGGCGCGAGTGATAGTTTTGGTATTGCAAGCGTCTATAAACTATGGTGGCCGCTTACAATCAGGCGGGCCTTATGCTTGTTTACCACCCTTTTTACATAGAGAAGCTCAACGCATTTCACCTGTATATGTATAAGCCTGCAGTCAGCATAACCAGAAGTAATGAGAGCAGCACACATAACGCCACCAAGAGCGCTCTGTAGTGGTAAGGTGAAACGCAGACGCCAGCGGCAGCGATCACAGGCGCCGAATCCGATGGGCCGTTTTCTTCAATCAGTTCGTTACGATTGTCGAATACCTGAAAATAAAACGTAGGTAGATTTCGAAAAAAATAATATTCTTTTTTGTGATTGGATAAATGCCTCTTTTTTGTCCACTTAAACTATAAACGAGATCTAAATTCCACCGTCTGTTCCAAACGTGCAGGGTTCGAAACTAAGTAGCGGCATATTTTGTTATTGAAAGCATAAACTTCTTTTATTCGTTTCTCGAATACCTACCTACCAATATCACTAATTTATTACATTTATATATTTTCTTTAGACAAGCGCTGTTTAATTTGGAAGCTTAGATTAAAACAAAAAGGGTAGATACGGCACTAGCCTCACAAAAGTGATCCGCACAAATTGTGGTCCATGACCCTAATCGCTTTAGTCACAACTTGACATGCAAACGACGTACATGTAAACGCCAAAAAGAAATATTGATAATATTTTGTGTTTATATGATAAAACAATGCCTAAGTATATTTTTTTTAAATTGCTCAAATTGCTCAAGAACTAAAAATAAAACCCACGGCATCACTTTTCATTCGTAAATACTATAAAATATATTTTTTCATAAAAATTGCTGTTTGTTTTGAATCTTATTCGGTAGTGACGTCGAGTACTGGTCGCGTGATTGGTCGGTAATGCAGTGACGCGGATCTCGCCGTCCCGTTCGCGCTACCGTGGGATCAGTTTTTGTTTGATGCAAGTATGAGCGTACCGTATCTACCCTTTTTGTTTTAATCTAAGTTTGGAAGTATGTAATAGACTAATTAAAGTCGTATTATAAGAGTCACTTTGAAAGTCAGTATTTTCCACTGGCAGTTTTTCCTTCGCATAATTATAATAACTTATCTGTTATTTTATACTCGGACGCATAAATAAGTAATTATAAATACACATTTATCTTCTTACCTCAATCATCTTCCTGACGTGACTAGGGGTTTCCACCTCATCTTTCAGATATTTGTCCACGCTCGTTTCTTCATACGACACCTTGTATACAGCACCACCGTCTTTTTCTTCGGATTTGTCTGAGCTGGATTCGGAAGACTCATCTGACTTCAATTCGGCAGTGTTGTTTCCATCAGCACTTAGAGTAGAGTTGACGTCCCTTCGACGACGACCGAACGACGGTTCGGAACGACCTGTGTGGCTTGGACAATATGCCTGCAATATAAACGGGAAGCTGTTAGGTAAAACATAGCTCCACTTCGTATTTAGACAAAACTAGTTCTAGAATTAAAAGATTCACGCCATATCGCTTTCGGGTACCAAATGCAACAAGGTGTGAGACCATTATTTACACCTTAGATTGATATTATAATTATATTGAATATCACTATGGTGCTACTTTTATGCACTACTCTTTTTACTAAGGGCAGGTGTGTTAAAAGTTCTGATGTGACAGAAAATAATCATAAAAAAATAATAAGAAGACGACAGAAAATAAGTTGCCGCTTCAGTTATCCTGAACATTAGCGGCCTGAACCCAATCCTCTACCTAATCCGTTAAGCCCAGAAAACCTCTATCCAGACACAGATAGAGACACAACTACCGATCTTTGTCTGTGGACGCAACAATTTGTAAAGGTATGTACGTAAATTATATTTTACTTTATATTATGAGAAAATGTATGTATGACTAAGAAGATAACTTTTTATTTTTTCACTATGTTGAAAAACAAACATGGAAAATCACTTAGGACCGTCGTTTTTATCATTTTTTTTTTCAAGAAATTAATATTTGAAAATTCAATATTTTATTAGTACCTATGTTATGTGTGAATTCACACATATTGCTTTAAAAACTAACACAATTTAATCGCACTCTGTTAACTGCATTCTGCATTCATACGGTCTAATTCAAATGATCATAAACAGAACGGGAAATTCGAGGATTTTCACGTACGTTGTAAGTATCGCCAATTAATTGAAATATTGGTTGTTAATTTTCTATCAAAAAAGTTCGGTAGGTTTAAAAATAAACGGAAACTTCCTTAGACATTTTGAATTCTGTACTCGTGAAAAAAACATGCTCCAGAAAAATACGCGTTTCTTTTAATCGGTTTTTTTTTCAATATTAAAAATCAGTTTTTTGCTACCCTATGTATGACCTTATTTTAAAAAGTCTACCTGTCTTTATTACTACAGGTTTGTAGATAGTAGTAGAAGGTACCTTCTAATTGTATCTATTAGGTATTTACTCAATATTTGTATCGCACTCATAAATAGTACTACTTTTCATCGATAACCTTTTGTCAAATGTTTACTTTAGAAACTGGTTTAATGATGTTATTTTCAGTTCTATACTATGATGGCATATTTATGTGGATAGCATAGACCTCTCTCTGTCCTCGTATAGCATCATCGCATATTTATTAGTAGTAGGTAGCTTTGCAAACACTTGCCTTCATTTTATCTGCAGAAGTTACTAGAAACTCGCAATATAATAGTAGTATGTACAAACTCTACTTACATATTCGTATTTAAATATTGCAGAACAGTTCAATAAAAATGTTAAGTCTTAATTGCACAAAATAATAAGAAAGTAGAGTAAACAGTAACTACCAGCGAGTGTTCGTAAAAAGATTCGCCTAAGTGATAGAGTTTTGACGTTTAGTACCTAATAGCGTAGGCACGAATTTAAACAAAAATCTATCTATCTAAAGGTTACTCTTGTGTTTTGCATAAAAAACCAATATTTATCAAAAAAACAATTGTTAGACAACTTCACCTTTGGTACCATTCATTTATTGTATAGCTTGTGTATTTTGCGAATTTTTCATTTGATATTAGCATCATTAGTCCCAAAACTGATAAGTGCAACTATACAACATTGTGTAGGTACTGGCTATCAAGGGTACTTATGGCTACACTCTCCCAGGAAATCATTATGAGTACCAGTCAAATTGCTTACAGTACAGCAAAATAGATAACAGGAACACATAATAATTGATAACCTAACTGCGACCCCCCCCAAGCGCATCGCTTATTTTTATCACCATTGACGTAGATCCAGCTATTTGTTTGAAAGTTATCATCAAATAAAGCGTGTTTTTAGATAACTTTATCGCTAAAAAACAGTAAATTGCAAATATGCTCAATCTGTTTTGTTATGAGAACAAAAAGTAGACATTAGCTAGTAAGTAACTTTCCTCTGATTAATTTATTGTTGAAATAGCATCTATATAAGTTCGTAAACCTAAAACCTTCTAAAAGGTAAAGATGAGTCTGCTCTTTACTACATTGGATACTAGGTACTTATTAGAATTTGATATTAAACACTTTGATTGCACATCTTCTAGAACTGTATAACACGGTATTCTCAAACTACGTTTTCGAATCTGTATTTTGACAATAATTATATATTCCTAATTATGTGATGGAAGGTGACTTCATGAATTATCTTAAACTAAAGTAATTTTTCAACTTGACGACTCTGTGTATACAGGGAGAAAAAACAGCCCTTGCTGAGATTCTTGCCGGTTCTTCTCAGTATAAGGTCTCCCATCGTAAATTTGTGAACCGATGTCGTAACTTCTAGACATTCTCAAGTGCTTGTAACAGCCTAAACTGAATAAACTATATTGATATTCGTTTTTTTTTAAAGTTCTTCATAGTTAAGGTTTGATTCCAGCACAGATAAAAAATATTTTATTAGGGTTAATTCTCCTTCCGCTCCTTACTTGGCCAAAAAAATAAACAGCCACGTAGAGTACTATGTAAAATAAGTAGACGGACCTGAAATAATTTTACTTACCGGCTGACAACCATCTCTACATGTTCGCACTGTCGCTTCGAATACCAAAAAGTTGGACTCTGGTATCTTGAAAGCATTGAATCTTGCCTCCAATGAATCTCCGCTGCGACCTTTGTCCAACTCTGGGAATACGTCTGGATCAACGGGACATCTAGATAAAGAAAAAAACACTAGATTTTGCCTTACCAATTTTATACTGTAATTACTTGTGGTGTTTTTGTTTCATACTGATAATTGTTTTGCCCTGCCTCTAGATTATTATAATAACAAAAATATAGATTATGACTCTATTATGTATATTGTATACTAAGGATGGAGGCATAGAATAGAATTAGTGATGTTATAAGCAAAAAAAATTCTCGTAAGGAGAGGATCCTTAAGAGATTTTTTTTCTGAAATCCTAGATCCACTCAAGAAGCTCGCGTAGTTATTCCATCCATAGGGAGATCGATTGGATGACGAAATTATTATAACTATCAAAAGTATTCTTACATAAAATATTAAGAACACTACTCACCCAACCCTATCAATGAGCTGCACCGACCGACCAGAATACGGGTCTCTCGCGATAACATTAGTGGCAAAGATGTCGGTAGCATAGTTATATCCATCCTGCGCTTCCAACCTGAATGTGAGCGGATCTCCAACGGCTATGGTAGTCGTTGGCCTGCCCTGGTACAATATCATCAGCCGCACTTTCGAGTTGAGAGAACTTTCCTCTGGTAGATACTCGATTGGAATTGGACTGCCCGACCTGTCGATGGGATTATACGCAAGTCTATGGTTAGATATAAAGTTAATTCTTTATTTTTGCACGCTAGTTGACTTTGAATGAATTCAAAAAGATGTCAACACCTATCCTGGTAAGAAAATTATGCATAATGAGTTCATGATCAATCAATATTATGACAAGGTTGTGTTCATAAATATACAATTCATTCAAACTCTACAAGTTAGTAGCTGTTAGTGAAATAACAGCACTCATATAGCCAAGCTTTAAAACCTACCAAGCATATTGTTAATTAATAAAAAATCCATGTCCCTAATCAAACAACGCCACTCACTCGCATATCCCCAAAAGTACAAACGTTATCCAAACATAGATAACAACAACAACTTGTTTAATAGAAAAAAACAAATAAAAAGCGCTAACTCCCAAAAATCGAATAACAACACTTCAGTTAACTGTTAATCATGACACGAAACAGGCACGTTTTATTTGGAAAATTAACACACCTTTTAATTACAGTTAAAGCCATGACAGTAGAAACACACAAAATACATCTGTTATTGCTAGCAATAACGGTGCTTTCGATGACAAACTCTATCTAACGACACGACTTTCACTGAACTTGTATTAGCTTAACGTAATCGTTAGTATTAAAATTCTGTATTAATTTTCCAAATAAACTCATTTCCACTCTATGTCTCACCCGGCTCCTATGTAATTAGAAGTGACAACAGCTTCAGCGGGTCCTCTAAACAGGCACGTTAGATTGAAACGCTTATCCCGAGAAGTTTGCACGTTGTCGCTAAACTGAACTACGACGATGTTGGTCATGGTATCGCCGTACTAGAAATCAAAAACGTTAAAGAAGTTTTCAGTGAAAACAACCATAATCACAAAGAACATAACAATAACAGATATCTGGACACCTACTCTTTGAGTTCCGCACTCGGGATACCCATGAGCTCCACTTATACGAAGCGCGTTGACAGTACCACCATTCCCTCGGAAGAAGCAACGATCATAGAAGCCGTATGTGTACATACGTCCGTAGAATCCTTCTGGTAGCCGCAAAGTAAACTCCATTCCATCTTCATTGCATACCTGCGACACTGTAGGTAATATGGCATAATATAACGGAATCCGTTTAAGTAAGTACATTTATATTTGCAAAAATCGAAGCAAATTGTTTTCTAGTAATACCATCAAGACAGTCGTCAGCTAAACGTCCCAGAGCTCGTTCATAGAAATCATAATCGTTAGCAGTATTGTCAAAGTGCGCAGGATTAGCGGCATCTAACTCTCGGGTGTCACGATCACTGAGCTCGCAATTGTCTCGTGGTTCTCCAAATGCTAGGTCTCTGTAATTAATGTTTAAATTAGTACCTGCTTCTTAGGTACACAATTACAATACAATTCAACTCAAAATACATATTTTATACTTGCCTAAAGTTGAATGCCCGGCAAATAAAATCTCTGGCTTCTATGCACTCCCTTTGGCAATGTGCTAAAGAGTGAGCAGTAGTGAATCGACGAACAAATCTTCTTTGCATGCGTTGTCTGCCAACCTGTCTAAAACTATCTTCTTCACATCGAGATCCCTGCCACGGTCTGTATCCTCCCGGAGGAGGTCTACCTACAGGACCACCAATGGGTCCTCCGATCGGACCACCGTGTATAGGACCTCCTGGTCCTATAGGCCCTACAGGCGCAGGTGCCGGCCCAATAGGTTCGTCGTGACCAAAACCACCAAATACAGCAGGGCCTAAGAATAATATAAAAGTACAGGTTTAAGGATATAATATTGTATTTCTGTATTAAATTAACAAAACATAAATAACGGTAATCACTATCATTTGTACAATATCCTTTTATCTCACCTACTGGCCGCTCAATGGGACGCTCTAAACCAGGTGGTGGATAGCTACCACGATAACCTCCAGGTCTGTCAATTGGTCGTCTTAAACCAAAGATGGGCCTTGGCTCCACAGGAGGCGGGAACCTTGAAAATACAAAAATGATTGGTGATTGATGATAATTGTTATTTTACCAAAAAAACCGTTAATGTGCAACCTATTATGTACAAACCTATCTGGTACTGGGCGTTGTCCTCTTTCCGGAACTGGAAAACGATCAGGCCCTGGATAGTCTCCACCGTAATAACCTCCACGGCCATAACCTGGTATCAAATACTATTAGAAAATAATCCTATTTTTCCTATTGAAAAACAATAACCCGAAAAGTTCAACCAAAGGAAATTTAACAATGTAGACTGTATGCTCGTTGATGTTTAGTTATAAAAAAATGTTAATGTGAATGAGAAGTTAAACAAGTGCTTACCGGGGAAAGATGATCCGGTCGGCGGATATTTGTCGTACAAGTCGGGATAGCGATCACCACCCAGCGGTACCGGGTCTCTGTTTACTCCGACTGGGTACCGACTAGAGGGGTAACGACCCCAGTCACCAGTGCCAGGATAGCGGTCCTGATCGTATCTGTCTGGATAGCGGCTGGGATACCAGGGACGCGAAGGATATCTTCCGCCTCCGTGAATGGGGATTCTCTCCGGATATCTGTCTACGGGATACCTATCAGGATATACGTCGATGGGGTATCTGCTGATAGGATATCGATCAGGAGCTGGGTAACGTCCAATATCATTGGAAGGGTAGTCGTAGAGTGGATATCGTCCGCTGTCAAGAGGGTATCGATCTCCACCACCAGGGAATCTGTTTCCTGCGGGATATCTGTCGGCAGGGTAGCGATCAAGACCGACGCCGGGAGGATATCTGTCATCAGGGTAGCGGTCGCTAGGGTAACGGTCTACGGGATATCTGTCGGGATATAGGTCGGGACCAGCCGGGTACCGGTCGTCGGGCGGTGGGTACCGGTCTGGCCGGCCGCTGTAGCGGTCGTCGTCGTATCTGTCATCATCAGGGTAGCGGTCTGCGCCTGCTGGGTATCTATCCCTGTCTCTGTCTCTCTCGCCTCCGCCGCTACCACCTACAAGATGTGAATCAGGTATGTAGGTACGGTGATTATTAGGTCCTGAGCTAATTATAACTTTTACATGCATCAATCTACGTAACAACGCCTCTACGTGAATCTACAAACCCTTACTTTCATGCAAAAGAATTAAATTATGATTTCTACTTCTACTTTTTAAATTATGCTTAACTAATTACTTCGATCTCATGCTTACTTACCATTCCAGGCCTTGCCATGCCTACTTCTACTTAAAATAAATAGAAATTTATATATGACTACGAAATATATCTCAAACTAGTCGGCCACCTAGATTATAAGTAAACAAAACCATCTACAAAACACCAACTCTACAAAGTCGGATCCTGACCTGACCTATAATTTGTGTTCCAAAAGCTATTTAATGAAATAGGAAAGCAGTGAAAGTTTGATGTTATATTTAGAAGAAAGAAAGTCGAGACGAATTTGTTCTTCTGATCGAATCGGATAGCCTGGACTCAAAACTCATTATAAACAATAATTTCAAGTTGTTACATGTGATAAGAATGCTATAATTTAAACGGTCGAAGGAAAACTTTATTTAACAAGAAATAAAATTGAGCCTACACCTTACACAATTTTCTCAATCTACTTATATTAATGGCGTACCGTGATAAATAAGAAAAATCCATATAAATAATGGTTAAATAAACATCTGGAACACTAACAATACAATTAATTGTAATTTTGTTTTCATTCATTTTGTTACGAGATGGAAGTAAAAATTAATATCACCGTTTTCAGACTGTGTGACAGCGGCTGTTGAATCTCTGGAAAGTTGTAACAAGAAATAAAATTGAGCCTACACCTTACACAATTTTCTCAATCTACTTATATTAATGGCGTACCGTGATAAATAAGAAAAATCCATATAAATAATGGTTAAATAAACACCTGGAACACTAACAATACAATTAATTGTAATTTTGTTTTCATTCATTTTGTGACGAGATGGAAGTAAAAATTAATATCACCGTTTCCAGACTGTGTGACAGCGGCTATTGAATCTCTCGATAGTTAATATTGCGCGTAGCCATACAAAGCCTATTTCAGTTTTGTGGATTTGAAAATAATTAAAAAGCAATTCATCAGCGGCGTATCACTTAAAAGAAGTAACTATTATTGCTTTTCGCACTTGTTTTTTTGTACACTCTAGCAAAAGAAAAATCTTGCATCTCCATCAAAATGAATGAAATCAATCTGTCAATGAACGTTAAATCGAAGCACCACGCTAGCACGAGCAACCCGTCTTCAAAGCGACATACAAGAAGGTCAGGATCATTTGAAAGGCTACCATGCATCGAACCTGCACTATTGGGGCGGGCCCAGGGAGTCTGCGAACTGCTCGTGGCGCCCCCTGTCTCCGTCTCCCCACTCACTAACTGGTCTGGAGCCCCAATTCACAAAAAAATGTTTAAATGAAGAATTCAGCGTAACAGTTTTTCGATTAAGAGCAGTAAAGATAAAATCGCTAAAAAAATTTTTTTTCCTTCGATTTTCTTTTGTTTCTATTGAAGACTACTCCGTACAGTTTTATGGATGATGAGATGATGAATCATACTCAAATTGTCGTATACGTTTATCGCAATACACACATCAATAACCAATACAATTATATGAGGTATATTACTATCATGTTCTGAGGACGATTGCTTCAATACATATCTAACCAGTCGATATTATTCTACTCAATGAGAAAACAAATGGAGTTTATGTAACAAACATCTCATCTGGTATCACGTGCAATAATATCCACAGTCGACATGAACGACGTTCTATTTACGGTTAAAGAGTTCACTGCCGTCATACTGCTCGTTGTGTGAATTGATCACTTATAGTTATACGAGTATGTAGTTCAAAGGTCAACATCTCATTACATCTAACTTGATACGATTCAGTATGTTTATTGAATCCTTCCTGTTTTCCGTTTATGCGTTGGTTGAATGTTATTTATAAACCTAATTCCCCCGCTGAACTTTATATATATTCACCAGCTGTTGCTAACCGTATTGAAGAAATTGATGTAGATGTATGTAGATAGATATTTTTACATTCGCTAAAATCTTATCTATGGGATTGAATCCAAGTGCTTGGGTACATAATAAAGGCAGCGGTAAACTTCTTGAGCAAAATCACAGACAAAGAAACTTGCGCAGTTGACGTTTTTGTATGTAAAATTGCTACTGCGCAGTCTTTCTTGTCTATGGTCGATGCTCCATAAGTTTGCCGGTGTGTATAGTATTGATTGGAACTGTGACAGTTAACACTTACGCATCAAATTTTCATAGTAATCAAAGTCTGGGTCATAAAGTAGCCTCATGCCGTCCTTTTGATTATATCGGCTGAGACGGCAAGTTCTTGCTCTATCGCTGTATACCGCTGATCTAGAAAGGACACATCCAGTATTAACAGTTTGGCCTGCAATTAAACGTACAAAAATATATCCTACAATAATGTTAAAAAAAAAAAATAGGTGCGCACGGTATTTTTGAATTTAAAGATAATGAAAATCTCGATATTATGTTTACTGAAATCATTCCTACAATAGTATACCCACTTTTATTATATTAACCTAGGTAACTACTGATGTTCCATTTTCGTGTTAGATAAGTATTTAAAAGCATAACTTTTAAATTACTCATTAATATTATGTCCATAAGTAAGTATACATTTTTGTTAGATACTCGTATCACGATAAGATGATGCTTTTTTATAATTCGACCAAATCTTTGTGTTTCAAACAATAACAATATCCATATAAAAAAGCATATTTATTAATAAAATATACTTATACTCATCAAAAGTTCAAAAAAATTTATGTTGCTTACAGACTTGAATATTTTTAAGACTTAGATTAATGAATGTAAAATGAATGTAGGGAGAATAATTATTTATCTATGTTTTAAGACTAATATTCTTTTGTTAATATTAACCAGTTTGATTTATTAGTGACTAAAGCAAAAAATCTTCGAATAAATTATACATTTCATAACGAATATATAAAATACGACAAACAAACACACTTTCCCATTTATAATTTATAATAATAATAATATAATATTATTATAATTATAATTATCGGCTGTATAATTATATTATATTATATATGCTATATTATATATATATAATAAAATAATAATAATAATATAATATTATTAGTATTAGTATGGAAGTATGGATATAGTTTGCGTAAAAGATGCATGTTTCTTAAACATTTTGATGTGTGTATTTCTAGTTAGGTAAATATATGAAGGTACTTGCAGTTTTGCATTGATAACTTTAAAATGTCTGCGGAGAACATAATCGCTATCAGTGATTGATTTTAAGTTTATCACCTAACATGGTGTTATTGTTTTGTCATGTTAATAACATAAAAACCTTCAGAATTGTTTTACAATCATCAACAAAAGTGTGTTAATGTTTTGGAACGACACGCTCGTACATTTATTAGAGTAACACTAAAAATTAAATTATGCTGTTCTAAAAATAGGTAGGTACTAGTGTTGTATATCGTGCAATGAACTTTATTGATAAACGTGATGAATTTGACACAAATGGGTTTGTATTGCAATAAAATAATTTGAATAATATTTTTGTTAACGATAGTCTTGTCTTTGTAGGTCAATTTTATCTGATAATTTGCGATACGCCTCGCAAACATGTTATTTGGGTCATCGACTTGATAAAAATACTGCGTCGACAGCTATCTTGCAGATTTTACGACATCTCGACTCAATCTCAATTCGTTAAACAAATGGTTTTGCTCAACAAATAAATATTAGGTGAAATCAAACTACATTAAGTTGACAACATTATTAATTAAATTTTGATTTTGGGTAGTCTAAATAAGTACTAGAATGATAGTCTAAATAAGTACCTATATCTCAGTTCAGTTCTATGCAATATTTGCTGTTACTTTCCAAAATTGTAATACCTACTGTAAGTCTCAAAATAACAATAGCGAATACCGGTCGTGACGCACTTTATGTTTTGTTCGCTCAAACAGAATAATACTTTTTCAAAATGTCTACTTACGGAGCATAACAGAACGAATTGGAGCTCTCGTTTGCGTATAAAAAATAAATTAATAATAATAAATATTTCCAACACTCACACCAATTAACCTAGCCCCAAAGTAAGAACTGTAGGCTTCTGTTATGGGATACTAGGGTAACTGATAGAATACATATACTGTACATATATAAGTATATTTATATAGAAATACATCCATGACTAGAGTAAAAATGCTCGTATTTATCACACAAACATCTGCGCCCACCGGGATTCGAACCCGGGACCTCTCGAGTCGGCGACACCATGATACCTGGCGTTCAAACCACGGAGGTAACAACAACAAAAATAACTTTACTTGACTAGAGAATCTGCTCCTACCTGCATTGAAAACTAGTTTGCCGCAGACATTCGTCGAGGCATTCGCTCAGGGAGCGTCCGGTTATCTCCGAATGGAACTCTCCGGTGAGCCTGCTGTTCCGGTACCGCTGGAAGGCCGTGTCCGGCCGCCGACCCGGAGAGAACAGGTGCGAGGTCACGCTGTTGTCCGGGTACTCCGTGCCGCGAGCTGTCACCCGATGAGAGACTGATCATAATCGTGAGAAAAACCTTATTTTGACTTCATGCGGTTACCATTGTTAATGTCACTTATTTGCGAGAACAACGCTGTTAATATTAGTAGGTAAGTAGTACAATCAATCGCAACCCCTTTCCATTTGCAAAAATGTTTAATTTAATCACTTTCCTCTTTAGGTCCTTTATGATTTAGTTTCAACTTAATGTTATTGTCTCTAAATGAGACAAATAAAAATGCTAATGATGTGAAAACATCCAATTTGTTTCATTCCCAGGGTTATTTTGAACCGTAATTTTCAATTAATCATTTTATATACAATTAACATTCTCAAAGTAAACATAAACAAAACAAGCTCGATACTCACGATTGTCTAGACAGACGAGGTCATAAAAGTGATGAGTGGGTGACGCGCTGACTGTCACGTCGTCTTTTTGAGATACAGAATCCTCTTCGGACAAAACGCACTGACGTGTCATTGCATCGTGCTCGATAGACCGGCAGAAATACCTACAAAGAATTATTTAATATTTTGAATCCGTAATTAAAAACAGGCTACGATAATGATAAGTTAACATATTCCTAGCGATAATAGTGCAGTGTTTACAACAACATCAAGGCAGATAATCAAATACAGTAATTATAAAATGAGCATTATTTTTCACTTGAAAATTTGAAGTATTTCATTGTCAGTCATGTATGAAAACCATGGTAAACAATAGAACTATTAACACGGTAGCTGTTTTTTTTTTGTATTCACTTCCTACTTACTTTTCCGCGCGCACGCACATGGCTTGGCACTCATCCAAAGTCATATTTGAAAAAACGTCAGCTTCAAAAGGACCTCCTAACCGTTTGTTTTCCTCTTTGATAAAAACAGCCAAACCGTCGCATCTTCTCTCAGCTGAAAATGAAAATGTAATAAACATTTTCAGTGATTTAATAAAAATATTGAGTACTTGCCTATATTTAAAATTTTGAATCCGCAATGACCAACAAACCATTCAAACAGGTATTTTCCAAATAATCAGCATTATGATCATCTTCAAGTAACTCCGGATGCGTCCTTCTAGTAAAGCGACTCAAAGAACATGTCCTCAACGCGGAGTCATAAGTAGCTGAACGACAAACAAAGCTGAACTCGCCCAGACATTTGTCCTCGCATTCAGTTCGGTTGGCGACCATTATCTCCTTGAGATCTGAAGGTGGAAGCTTCAGACGTTTTCTTGCGTGTCGTTCGAAGACATAGCGACGCGATGGGCATTCACGTTCCGGGCGGTTAGCTAAAACAATTGAATCAATAAATTAATGTTTACATAATACTGAACACACAATTTCTCCATTAATCATGCGATAACAATCTTGGTAGGTTATATTGGTATATTCATAAAGGTTAGCTACTCACACGTAAGACATATCTCGTTGAAATGAACGCTGTTGGGTACAATCATCAAAGTTCCGATTCCTTCCGGCATAGCTTGCTCTCGAGTCAAATAGCATGTAGATTCTTCGTACTCTGGTTCGGGACTGAACGCAGCAATACGGGCCCCAGGTTGGAAATCAATGGAATTGCAAGTTCTCACTAAGCTGTTGACCGAACGATCTCTCAAGCAGAGGTCCTGGCACTTCTCCAAAACACGGAATGGCGGTGCAGTTTCTCGAACCTGATGATGGAAAAATAATTACTACTGTCTACGAATGAATCGAGTAGGAAAATATAAAGTAAAAAATACGTACAACATCATCGTCGAATCCGTGCAGCTGTTGATTTGGTAGTCTTTCGTACATCACACGTCCCATGCCTTGATTACACGTGGTTTGGGCTAAAATTGAGGAGAAAAGTTTTACGATAAACATAAATTAGATTCTTGATTATAGTGAATCAAGATTTCTTAGCAATACTGTAAAAGACATTATTGGAATCATAGAAAAAAGGTTAAATATGCATTTCAAAAGTAGCAAGTTTTTGTCAGTTGTGTAACTTGGGATCAATGCTTTTTCAACTGAATTCACATTAACATTAAAGCACTTTCAACTGTATCTTTTTATTCTTCTAGCCGCACATACCATTGGCCATGGTGAGCATGGTGAGAGCAGTGAAGGCGTGCATCACGCTCGCCCCCCGCGGCTTCATCTTCTAGCGCTGTGCTGCTGGCTGTTGCTCGCCGTGCCTCACCGAGTCATATGCCTAGCTGGAAATCACCAGATACTCTTTATAAAGCAAGCGATATAAAGTAAGCTCATTTTCATCAAAGTTCTTAAATCATAAAGGTAGTCTCATGTTTAAACCTCATTAATTGGTTTGGCCATTTCCCAACATTCAATTTTAAATGGAACTAATGTGAAAAGTCTATCCACTGTCCATTACTTTTTTGTTATACAATAGTTCTTGTAGTAACGAAATTGCCAAGCCACATATTTTGACTAAGGTGAAGAGTTTGTGAAGTTAGTAGCCCAGTAGAGGTAGGACATGTAAAGTTCAAAGCTTGGCTCTACTTGAGAACAGATAACTTTTTGAAAATGCGAGTCATATGGTCTTATCTTGGCAGCATTTTACGTGAAATTTTTTTTGGTGCGATTTCATTTATTTTTGTAAGTTGCTTAAGACATTTCTTTTTCTTTTTTTAGGTTACATTAATTTGTTATTATTTATAATAACAAGGATCCCTATTATCAATATTTGGACCTCTATACAGCTCAATTTTCAAACCTCTAGCGTCAAAATTGCGGAAATCTGATAAAAACTTCTACAGGGTCGGCGATAAAAGTTACAAGTTTTATATTTTTTTTGCGTTGTTTATGTACTTAAACTAGCTTACATATCAAATTTCAACTTTCTATAGGACATAAGGAAATATCCTGATAATGTTGATGATCAGTAAATCAGTGTCGAAATCAATCATCGTAAATTTTAGATGTTAATAAAGTTAGAAGTATAAGAGTTATGCCATTAAACCTTCATATTATGCTTAACTGGTATACTTAATCCAAACCCAAGTTATAAAGGCTCAAAAAACGACAAAGGTAGGTGTAGTGCCCTTGCGCTTCGTTTGTCTTGTCGTCTTGGCGGGGGCGCTTCCGTACCCCCAGATATTAAAGGCTACATCATATGGCATTGATTAATACCAAGTTTTTTCGGAAAGAACGTCAGCTCACCTCATATGTGTACAATAATTCCGAAACTTCGTCATACTTACATTAACAGACTTTACTTTTCCCTGCCTTTATTTTCGTTTTTTTATGTTGAAAGGGTGGCAAACAAGCATTTCTATGGCATATGGCCCGCCTGATCGTAAGCGGCCACCATGCCGTTGCCTACGGGTCGCTCTACCCCGTGGAGCCATGTTATCACCGACAGAAACACAACACCACCCAGTATCGTCTTTGACCTATTGGAGGTCCTGGGCATATTAGGATAATGGGGTCCCTATGACCCCCGTTTGGTGATCTAACAGGAACTAGGGACTTTGTATTTGATCTGCGGTGGGCCCCTATCGATCGCGGGGCCCTGGGCACTTGCCCAAAGTGCCCACTGGGAAAGAGGGGTCTGACACTACCAAAAGGCAGTGTTATTTTGCTGTGGTCTTCAGTAATTTCCCAGACGGCCCCTAAAATATCGAGCGGACAACCTGCTTTGTTGAAGTTTGCTATATTTAAGCAATCTATATTTCATAATAAGTTGTCTTTTTTTCAGTGGAATCTTGAAACAAAATATATTTTCTCAGTTTAGTGATGAGTAGGATGCGATGAGTATATTTTGTGACATATAAACTCACAAATGTATGTAATCTAAACTTTAACAATTTGGAAAACGTTCATCGGTCCGTTGCACCAAATGAATGCGAGTATTGAGAACAAGGTTGAGTTTGGCTAATATTTATGGCTTTTTATGTTGTTATTAGCTATACCTACGTCCGAATTGACCTCTGAATCATAACCGTTGGTGTCATCATTCAGCATATTATTAAGTGTATAGGTTCACTCCACAACCTTTACGGTAGGTGCACATAAAATGTTCCTAGAAGCAGATCCATACTTAATAATATTATAAATGCGAAAGTGTGTCTGTCTATCTATATGTCTGTTCGTTACCTCTTCACACTTAAACCGCTGAACTGATTTATATGAAATTTGTTATAGAGATAGTTTTAGTCCCGGGAAAGGGCATAATATAGATTTATCCTTGAAATCACCCTTTAAGTGGGTGAAATAAGGGTTGGAAGTTTGTATGGGAAATCAATTAGGTATTTCAGGCAGACGAAGTCGCGGGCACCTACTAGTATATTATATATCATTATTATCGTCCTGATCATCATTAGAAGTCCAGGCTCTACCTTTGGTGGAGATATTGTGGGTACTAAGAAATGCAGATGCAGCCCAATAACTGACCATTGCCAAAGTTGCTTCCACGAACGTAGATAATAATCAAGCCATCGAGCTCCATAGTTTTAAGCACGTATATACCCGTAAATACGTGTAAACCTACTTACAGATATAAACTTGCTTAAAAATATGTATTAGTCTGAATATTACACCAATAATATCACACTTAGCACCAGTTGGGTCAAAGACGTTTTGGTAAATTTCCCGAAAATAGATATTTCTTTTTGATATTTACAAAAAAGAGCAGGCAAGCAGGTTAACGTAGGTATTCGTTCTTTCTCTAGGTACTAACATTTTTTAAAAAAAGAAGAAGCAAAATATATTTTATCTCCTATTAATAATCCAAATAAAGTAGATGAAGTTAACAAAAGCCCTTTTACTCTCGTAAGCTTATGAGAAATAAAAATCCTGTAAATCCTAATTAGGTACGAAACGTACCAAGCGTGCTTACTATTTTCATAGTATCCATTACCTTTAACAGCCATCAAATGATTCATTAAACTTACACCATATTAAAATACAAACGCAAACTACATGGTCCGAGTGTTGGGTTAACTAGAATAACAGTACCGGTGGGATTTCTATTGATCTGCGTTATTGAAATAGCAACAATGAGTGATATCGATACCGTTACAACAGGCAGACGCGTGAAATTGGCCCAACAAAATTAATGTCACTATATATTATTAATGGTCACAGTGCTCGGCACTAGATATTTTTATTTTTTATGACCTTATCTAGTCAAAATTAATTAAGAGTGCAACAAAATTATCAATTTAAATTAAGGATTGATCCTGTTTACATACATTATCATTTCAAAGTCAAAGATATTTAATGAGGCTTAAACATGATGACCTTTTAATATTTAAGAAATTTGATGCAAGTGGGCCAAAATTTATTACTGATACTACAAGAGGATGTACTCTCTTGAAATTCGCGTGTATGTCGTGTTGGTATATCCTCTAAGATGTCGTGTTCTATTGTATGGCATTATCTAGGAACTTATTGAGCATTATAAACGTCATAGAGAAAGAAGATCGACGATTATGATAGTAATATATAACAAAACAACTTTCAATGTAGGCGCACACTAGGCGACACGCAACAGCGACAGCTCGGCGTCTAGACGCGACGACGACAGGTTGCGGCCGACAATTTCATATAAGTTGTTCAAAGCTTCGCACACTTGGCGTCAGAGTCGCGGAGTCGCGACGACAAGCTAGGGGAGCCGAGCGCGCTCGCTATTTGTCGCCGCGTCTTGTCGCGCTGTGCACGCACACACAACGACAGTCGCGCGTCAGTCCGCTGTGAGCTCTGAGGAAGGTGCATGTGTGTATTTTATTGAGAATCTCAATATGTATACGTTCGATGTCGATGTATTCGTTTCGGACGTCGAATTGCGTCTGCTATTTGGGACTTACGTTCAGATGACTATAGTGACCGAGGCAAGCAAAATCAGGCTTTGGAGGAATATAGAGGAGGCTCCATATTCACTCACAGAATTAACAACACTGCGGTCTCTCTCGAATACTCCACTAGTAATGATCGCTTTCTGCACGATGAGCCACGATGTCTGTCGTTACGACTAGTCGCCGACGCTAGCGACAGCTCCGCGTCTAGTCGCGGCGACAAGACGCCAAATGCAAACGACAACGCCGCGACAAGACGCGACGACAAGTCGCCTAATTTGCGATGTCTCTCAGTTTACATGCACATATAAAACAAAAGTCGCCACATTCAAAATCAAAACAGTAGCAGAATAATAATCAAAATTAATCTTTTGAAATCGATCTTTAAAACTCCGAAAACATCACGTTTTTCCTATAGGGTTCCCTTTAAATGTTATATTTTTTTTTTATTTCATAATGTAGAGGCATTAGAAGTATCTTAATTTTCACCCAGAGAAATGCGTAACCCTTATATCATACGGCGACGGGGTTTCGAAACAACCTCCCGCGTGCTCCTGCTACGCCTATCACGAAAATAAAATCCTGAATCAGGTCGTAGTTGACCAACTACAGGATTTATAATAGTGTAATGTATTTTACGGCCTACGGCCCTGGGGCCTATGTCCAATTATGTACTACATTTCATTAAATAATTACCATCCATTGGTAGGACCTTCAAAATTGCATAAACTGGAGGAAAATAACGGATAACTGTTATTATTTGAAGGAAACTTCGTGAGAACATTTCTTTTGTCACGTCCGCATGTTTATTATTTATTTTGTTTATTTTTTGGTATATAGATAAGTGTGTTGCCTCAAATTTGCTAACGTAGATACATATGTTATTGTGTGATAATTTGATTAAACATAGATTGCTGTAATCTTTCATACTACTGCCAAGATAAAAGTTTTTATAATACAAAAATATTTACATACGTTTATATTTTTTATCGAAGTATTGAAGTACTTTGCCGAAATTCGATAAACTCTTTATTGGAGTATTGAGTCATATATTCCAATGATATAAGTCAAAATTAAACAAAGCTTGAATCTATGTAGGTATCTAACGCAATTTATATTAGGTGTTCTGTTTTTAATACTATTTATTGGTACAATTAATATTTCGAATATTTCAATTCAACCAAACTTGTTGATACCACAGTTGATACGCTATAAACATCGTACGTGTGCGTATGATTTACATAAAATGTGATTTGGACAAGTATGTTTTGTAGATGAATACGCAGGCATATCATCGTAAATCGTGTTGACGATTTTTATCAAAGTACTCATATACTTAGTTTAAAAAATGTTCTAACCTAACTGACCGAACTTTACAAACTCTACACCTTAGTCAAATT